GTTATTTTGCTCAAAACTTTGCTTACTTTTAATACCTACCTGTAAGTATATCACATCTTTTGATGAAAATGTTTGGGACAAATTTCATCATAACCATTAAAAAACAATTTAAAAGAATGAGAGTTCATCTAGACAGACTCTTCTGATGAGAAAAAATAAGTTATTTTCTTTATGAATATGAATAGACATCAACTTACATTTAGCGTTAATTTGGCTTTTGTCACTTTACTCAGATTCTCAAATTTTATGGACATTTCCTGTCAATCTGACTTTTTCCTCCTTCTTCATACTCCTGACTGCTAATCCACATTTGTTGGAAGGTACCAATAGATGCTAGAATAGAGCCCCCAATCCAAGCTCCAAATCGTCGCTCTGCTGATCCATTTGCAGATATCAATTTTAAACGCATGCTCGCTGGAATGCGTAGAGAGAGATCTCTGTTCAAACGTTCAGGAAAACCTTGAATGAAAGAGTTCCCACCTGTGATCACAACACTACTGTACAAAGCTGGTCGAATGTCCACATCACACATCCCAACACTGGTTGTCACTAAATGCCCAGCACCAAGCATTGTATTGCCCATCAAAGCCATGCTAGGATCAAAGAGAACTTCAGGGATTTTGAATCGTTCACAACCAAAATCTTGATGGTAACCATTAGGAAACTCATAGTGGTATGATGGTAGCAATGATACACCTTTCTCATCATAGGGGTTTTCTGAAATTTGCAGAACACTCTGCTGAAAGTCCTGGATCACCTTCTTCACCATATAGTCATGCCATGAGGTAGTTACTTCTGGGACATTTCGTTTTCTGGTCCATTTAGGTTTCTCTTTTTCTTTGACTTGCTCTTTACTCCCAATTAAGTAGGAGGGGATGACTTCAATGTCTTGACTCTGAAAAAGTTGTTTGCACTGCATAGTGATATAATCGCCTCCGAGTGGAGATTTGACAATGGAATGAGATAAAACATATCCATCATGAACAGGAATGGCTGAGGTATGTGTCGCACCACTATCAACAACTAGCGCTGTTGCTCTACCATTAGCAAATGCAGCTAATACAGCATTTTTCACCAAGAAAAATGCTGGGACATTGTACTTTTCAAACATTAATTCCGTCAGTTTTTCTCTTTTAGTGCGAGTATTCCATGGAGATTCAGACATTAGAACAGGATGATATTCTGAATCTGACTGTATACATTTTGAATAAGTATAGTCCAATACCTTTTCGAAGAGATCCCAGTTTTCGATCATACCGTCTTTCATGTAACTTTGGACTTCGACACCCTTTCGTGCTGCATGTAGGACGGTTGTATCAACGTAGTATTTAGTATTCTCACTGCTGGTATTGATGTTCTGAGTATCAGGTTTTTTGTCAACGTCCATAGGTTCAACAGTTTGACTGGCGTCCGTGCCGGTCCCCACAACTGCTGCAATTTCGGCTTTTGGCGTGTCTTCTTGGGCATAGCCGACACGCAGGGATTGGGATCCGACATCGAAAACTAAAGCACCGATTTCATCACCACCGTACAACATTGCGGCTGCGTTACTCATTGTTAAAATTGAAGATTAATAAATAATAAAAGTTACATATCAAATTACACTTGTACCGCTAAAGCAATTTTTGAGTGCGGTCGCGGTATTATCTATTATCAGCTTGGACATGTAAACAAACAATAAACATAGATTAGACGCCACTGAGAGAGGAGGCAACTATCATGAGGCATAGGCAGATTGAGGGAGCTAGCGCGCCTTGCGATGCTGCAACTTACACAACACTGTAGTACACAGAATGTGTGTACTCTATTGAAGCCTACTTCAGTTTCGGATAGTATAGCGGGGGCTTTAAGTCTTGAACTACAAAAATAAAAGACTACGCATCTCGATTTGCGACGTTGCAGATTTCCAGTGCTAATTTTTTAGGTGGAGAGCTTTTGGACGTTATTCCTAGAAACTTCCGTGATTTTTCCTCCTGTGCGAAACAAATTTTGAAAAAAAAAAAAACTTTAGGGAATGATGCTGAAGGTGCTTTCCTTTAAAAATAAAATAGGAGCAGAGATTTTCAAACGTTGCAAACGAGACGCGTTGTTTTGGACATGGCCGGATTTACATACTTGCCGCCCATGGGCCGCCTGTATTTTGCAGCCCTCTTCTCATTCATTTTTTGAAACATCAATAAAAACCATCAAGTGAATGTGCCGGAGGGAGAAGGGTGCATAAGACGCGTTCACTCGAGTTGGACACATTTTTGCGTAAGCCCTGTCAACACTACTGGCAAAAGTTCACAGAACTTCGCGCGAAAGTTCAGTTCCGTAAACCTATCTCTGTGTGGACAAGGCCTTCCATTCATAAGAAATGAACGAAAAAATTATGACAGAACAAACATAAATGTGATTTAATAATTTTAACTTCCGCCGCCGTGCCGCGCTGACCACACTGTGTTTGGCGCAATGCGTGAAGTATTCATGTAGTCTTGTAGGCACTGTGCGTTTCACGCCGCGCCGATCGCCGCCGTTGACCGTACTGTGTTTGACGCAACGCGTGAAGTATTCATGCAGTCTCGCAGGCGCTATTATGTGTTACATGCCTACCGCCGCGCCGAGGGCTTTTCCTTTTCATCTCAAGTCCTCGTCATCATTTCTCTCTGCGCCGCGCCGCTCCAGGCCAAATTACGTGTTTGGTTTCTCTCTTAAATCAACTAATTAAAGGTGCGCAGTCTTTTGTATCACCGAAATACGACAAAATTAGAAATTAATGAATTCTAGAAATTAATGAAAATCTCGTTTGTAATTTTTTTTTCTGAATCCGATTTTTTTAGTACCTGCATTTAAAAAATTGCAAAATTTGCCGCCCCCTAATTTTACCGCAATAGGCCGCGGCCCATGTGGTGTGGCCACCCCCTTGACCCGGCCCTGGTTTTGGAGTTCCGCCGTAGTTAGGTATGCTAAAGTAGGTACCTACCTACCTATGCAACATATTCTTTGCTCGTTGTATGCCACAACTTTTACGTTCTCAAATTTAAGGGCAACGGACGCGGCAGTGGCGTCATTTCACCTGGAGGGGGGGGGGTTCGATACTCAAAAGAATATGATACCTGAGTAAATACATAAATTTCATGATGAGGACATTAACGTTAATTCAAATTGTTTCTTTCCCGTCATACATTCACCTTCTTCGTCTCCCATTTGCCTCATTTTATACCTATTAATTTAATGGCAGATATGTTGTGAAACACCCCCCCCCCCTCCAAGTAAATTTTCCCTTTGTCAAACAACTTTTACCACTTCCTGAAATTCGGCTGAAATGACGCCCTCATCTCGCATGCAAAATGTCACAGCCAAATATTTGAAGGATTAAGATTACTTATACACAATACTGCTCTGAATAGGTCTTCTAGTTTGCAATTCAAAATCTGTCAATACTTTAATCCTGGTAAAGATTTGGTATTTAATGTTCTTGCATTTACGCAGTGTGTATGTTGCACCCTGTTTTTTAAATTCAATTAATAGTATTATGCATCATCTTCTGCGCAATGCGCTTTTTTCCAAAATTTTTTGACCCCCTTAACACTCCAAAAGAGCTGCTCAAAATTCAAGAATTTTTGACAAAAAAATTTAAAATCAGTGAGGTGGGAGAAAGTGGCTATAGCGTGAAGGCAAAATTAGGAGAAGAGGTTTGTTCACATTTAAAATTTTCTCTGTTTTATGCGAATAATGCAGTGAGTGGATTTCGCTCTATGCTAAATGACACCTAAGTAAAGAAAACAGGTTATTTTGGTATGCTAGGAATACGGAAATTTCAACTCCTGACAAGTTATTTTTCAATGTGCCTATGGCTTAAGTATGTTCGAAAAATCTGGAAAGATAGCTCAACAGTAATTACTTATTCAGATAATCGATCATGTAAAGCGTTTCGGAAATTTACAAATATAATTACATTGGAGCAAGTAAAGCAATCCTTGATGTACCCATATCTCCAGGACATGATCAGAATTTTCAAGGCTATGGTTAGGATCAGTTCGTTAGAATTGCTCTTATCCTTGTTGCAAGTATTTTTCTATTGTGACTGAAATTACTTCTCCTTATATCTTGTATACTCACCCAGGCCTCTTTTACCAAGCGTAGCAAATGCAAATTCCATTTCATTGCCTAAGTTCCTGTATCAGGAGCAATGATTTTAAGTTCCTTCTGATTTGAAGTCTTGGTCAGCGAAAACTCGTTACACCAATGGGTCATCTTTTTTAACTGGTTTCAATCTAAGTTCTTGAAGGATCGCCAGATGCCAGCCTTCGAATTAAAGTTAAAAGCAGGAATTACCTCACAGAATTGATTGTCAACTAAATCAAAGAGCATCACAAGAACATTACTTCTTAATGTACTCTAGAACGAATATTTTAGGGTGCATATGTTGCGGGCAATTAGCTATCACCAGCAATTTGCAAGCTACGGGTGATTAGTAGAAAACCATGGAATCCATAAATGAAGGGACAATAAGAAGAGAGTAGGTATTGGATTAATTCCTATCAATGGAATAAGACTCCTCTTTCGTAGCAAATGCACGGTTGCCATACACACTAATAGCTGGTACTTTACACAAGTAGCGGAAAGTGGTGATCTTCTGCAAGTTTTGGTCTTATAGGCAACTAAACTGAGTGACAAAGCGTAGTGTCTCGGGAAAATGAAGGCACTCAAAGTTGAGATCTTGCTTTAATGAGCTTTCACCAATGAGACCTGCATTATGCTGTTATGAATCTTAGCATTTTACTGAGCCTACTTGTAAGCTACTTTCAAATTGCCGGTAATTGCTAATTGCCTGCGACACATACATAAATACTGAAAATTAGAAACTAAAATGATTTTTCAAATAATTAATCTCTTCAATTGTTATTCACTCCCAATATTGGAATGCTAGAGAAGACAAGCGACAGAGGCCCAAAACTTGCTTATACTTGCTAGATTGAATGCTATTCAAGACTTAGGATAAAATAGAGTCAAAAACGTCACCATCAAAATAAATTTATTAAATTGATAATCGAACAGAAGATCTTTTGTTACAACCTAAAATGAAGGTCATTTTTCATGTCTAATTTTTATAAACATTATAATTTAGTTTTTTTTTTTTTTATTAATTTTTGTTCTTTTTTTCGTGAGCTGTTGCTCAGGCATACATTAAATCTTCTAAAAGTTAAAGCAATTATTGAATCACATGTATTTACACGGTTAAATAAAAAACAAATAATTAGGCAGTTGTAAAATTTAAAAAATTGAAATAGTTACAAAATAGTTAAAAAGTTAAAAATTTCAATAATTACACATTTTTTAAATTCTTAGTACATTTTAGTTCTACATTAATGATACAAAAATTACAATAAAACAGTGGTGGGGATTAAAAGCTTATTAGTTACTTGATACTTGATAAAAAAAAAGCGATGAAGCTGTTATTTCAAACACCAAGTTCATAGGTCGAGTTCAAATCGACGCACGGTTTCCTTTCAACTGCAACAGAAAACCATTAAATATGATTACAGACACATGCACTAATTCAAATAATAGGTGAGAGTAAAAGCAGTCAAAATAAAATAAGATTCTTTGTTAGTTCCATTTTGTGAAATTGATTCATGAGCAAATATGTACAGAGTAATAATTTTTCCTAACAGTTCTAAATTTTTCTCTTCCTCCATTAAGGCATCAAAAAGAGAATTTTTTTGAAAGTACAAAAAAATTGTGTAATCTAATGTGCAGATTTGGGATTAAATATAATTTAAAAAAAAAAAAAAATATTTTAAGAGAAATCTATTAATTTTTTTTTCTTTAAAGTTATGACATAGTTGACTCACATTTTACAGTAATATTTGATGGTTCTTGGTGAGCAAAGCTTATAGAATTTTTTTTTTTTTTTTTTTTTTTTTACAAGGAGAAAAATTTACTCAAAAAAGCAAAAACTCCAGGTAATCATAATCATCGATCAGGTTTGAGCTTATTGCCCGTAAATCTGACATTAAATGACACGATAAAGATGGGAGCAGACTTTGTAGTGGAGGAATATATGTACGGAGGTCCTGCAGTGTGTTATTCATCAGGATAAAATTCAAAGTTTATTTTCATTTATTCTTACAACCCAACACAGAACAGGATTTTCCTTCCATCATACTGGGGTCGAAATGACAATCCACTTTCTTACAGAGTGTGTAGTACTAATATGATAGAAACTCTATTTCACTTTGAACACAGTTCACACTCCTCTCCGAAAAGAAAGCATTATTTGGACTACATTTTGCAATTTGGAACTATACATTCTAGCCCGGTTTGAGAACAACGTATGTGCCATTAGTTCCCCTGAGCACACAAGTGTTTATCCAGAAGAGCCAGAATTTATACATAGTTCCTAATTGCAAAATGTAGTCCATTTATCCACTAGGATTTTCTTGTAAAATATTTCACCAAGCTCATCGATTTTCTTGCAATATAAACTAAAAGAAACAACTGATTGCAAGCACATCCCTTTCCATGGTTTGTGCAGCCTCAGGAATGAAAACTCGAGTGCTTTTCAAGCTGTCCTTGAAGAATTTTCAAGCACTTCTTGGGACTTTTCAATAATTTGTCCCATAATGCATAATATTCTTTCCGTGTTGTGAGTCTGAGTCGGCAATTTTTGGTTCTCGTAGAGGAAAGGTCAGGAGATTCTAAGTTGATAAGGTGTTTTTCCGAACAATGTATTTCATGTCAAATGTTGTTATTTATTGACAGCAACAATTTACCGTTAAAAATAATTTTTAAAGAGTAAGTACACTTCAAGCGCTTTCAAGTCCTTAAAAAAATTCCAAAATCAAGTTTTCTAAAAGCTTTTTCCAAGGCCGCACAAACCATGCTTCCAGTTAGACCAGAGTCAACTGACTCATTAACACAATCTGACACGCACTTAAGTAATAACCACAAATTTTTATCCAATATAAAGAAAACCAAACAAAAACTGTAAAATAGAGACACATTGAGAAAGCAACAAACATGCTAAGAGATTAGAACATAAAGCAAGGCTCTTAACAGCAGCGTAGTGCACCAAACACGGACTATCACTGTAATAAACTTTGTAAAAACCAATTTACAACAGAGCAGTCATTTACAGTGGATTTTAGACGACTTGCTGATTGATTAGAAACAGGGTAAGATTAATACCAGTTTCGTCCAAATATGTATAATCTATGTTCAGTTTGGATCCTAACATACGTAGAATGACGAGATTAAAAATCATCAATGGAAAATGGAATTTACACATTTTTTTTCATAAGGATTAAAAAAGGGTCCTTGATGAAGAAAGGGATTCATTTTTGACAAATCCTATGAAAATTCTATCATTCATCAAAAGAAGGATTAGAGATGATTGTCTCCGATTTGTATGCAAATCAAGTTAAAGGGTTGCCCCAAAACCAGTATTTCTTAGTTTTTTGCAAATAATCCTCCAACTCGCTAAAAAATTTAGTGATAGTGCATGCATTCACTATAAATCTCATGAGCGTTTCATTTGCGACCATCTTTAATCATAAAATAGTAACGGTGTGATGCTCATTTTCTATGCGATCCGTTTACCTATGTTTAAATTTCACTTGTTGTACTTCTTGTCCTTGAGAATTATTCTCCGTGGAGAAACTGAAGCTAGCTAGAACTACATATGAATATTAAAAACTGGACTTACCCGGCTTCTTTACTTTGACGCTTAGTTGTCTACTATTCTCACTATTTTGTCCTAAATCGTGCAGGCGTTTTCGAGAACTGTACGGCACTAGAAAAAGAGGACACGCGTGAATTAAAAATGAAATTCGACGGAGAACCAACAACAAAAAAATAAAAATTGAAACACAAAGGCAGTTCTCAGCAGGGATGAAAAAATGAAGCTGTGCGCTGTCACTTGGAGCAAAATTTTTGGAAACGTCTAACTTATTAATTTTTGCTTGGACCTTCAGCTGATGATAATGGTTCTTAGCATGCTTCATTTGATCACATAATTTTTAACTTCATAGTACCAGTGATTTTTGTGATGACTATGTCCGCTCAGGTACTTCTGAACCACAAGTATTTCATTAAACATACCGACATCTATGGAGGGTTTTAGGTGAGTGAATACAATTTGATACAACATTTTTCATGTTATCTTAATTTTAATTTTCGGCTTCCTTTTGCATATGAACAGTTTCTTCACCGAATCACTGACAGGAAAGATAAATATATCGAGGTGTAAAAGAAGCCAAACCTTGCGATTCAAAAATCTTGAGAGCCAGGCACATTTACAAACTCAAAAAATAAATTCTGTGTGTATATCAGATGATTCTCAAGTGCCAAAAAATGAGGTAACTGACGATTTCTGTCATGAAGCAGAAAAGCTGGATTACAAGGAACAGTCAGTGCTTTAGAACTGTTCGCACCTATTAAAATATTGAGTGATTGTAAATTACAAGTGTTTAAAAAAAAAAAAAAAAAAATGAAGAGAAAAAAACTTGAAATGATGGCGTCAAGGATGCAGAAGGTGATAAAAGCTGATAAGACACAGCAATCCAGAGTGAGTATCGATTTATTCCTGTTACAAACATCAGGATAATTGGTCGGAACTATTTCGGGACAATCAAGATAGATTTTGGCGAATTGTATTTAAACAATATCATAATCTCCTCCAATTATACCAATGAAAATGGATCGATACTCAGTTAGGACACAAGACTAATGGCGTCTCTACTAATTGCTAGATGTAAGAGATACTAATCAGATGTAACAATCGGCAAACAATAAGGTTTCATGAAGAGACAGGAGACCACACTTCCAACTACGATTTTGACACACTCAAATTTCATGAATTTATAAAAATGCCACTTTCCAAAAACTCCTCAAGCTGATGAACTTAGCTGATGTGACTGGATGTGATGGAATAAATAGAGATACTGGCCTACTTTTTTTTTTAACTTGGTAAATACCACAGTAAAGATCAGTCTTGGATTTCTAGCCATCTATATTCTGAATTTCCTGAACTATTGCAATATTCAATGCGGACTACCTGCTGTGACTAGAAGCCTGAAAAGTTGATTGCTCACTTGATAACAGTTGTCATTAGTGCAAGGAATCACTTACGTATCTGGTAGAATAAGTAAATAATTAAGAATCGCAGAATTCTCTCTAAGCACAATGGGAACCTTAAAAGAGTACATGTTCCTATTTAACAAGGTTGAACTAGGTTTTTTTGAAGTATGATATTCTTCAACAGGGTTACTGAATGGAAAAATATTTCCTCAACTCGAGGTTGAACCTGCGTAACGATACATTCATGCAGAATCAAAACATTTCTTTTATTTTTCCCAATACAAATAATTTCTGAGCTTGTCTTGATTTCTCAGATTTTTAAGACTGTTAGAAACCCTTTCTTACGAACTTCCGGGAGGAATAGAATCTTACCTTAACTGATTGGCATCCACTAATGTTTTGAGCATGCTCCTCCTTTTCATGTTATCTCTAGGCAGCAACTTGTTTAAAGAATTTCTTCTTTTACCCTGTGCTGATTTCTTCATTGCCGTTGATAAAGTGGCTTTGGAAAGAAAAAGAAAGGAAGATTCTTCCTGAATCAGGTGTAATTTTCAAGTGATTGAAGGAGCACCGCAAAGGTGGCAAGCAATAGGATAGAGAAGATTTGAGATTTTGAGCAATAAGGATAGCAAGTAAGTTTTTTCATGACTTGAATCAGCTAAAGATTTTTTAAAGTTAAAATCCATGCAGCTCAATTTTCTAAAATAACTTCAATTCTTACAGTAGAAGTTTTTAAATCTGATACAATGACAACGGTGCAAAAATCTGATAATATTAATCGTCTGGACCTGAAAATTCTGAGGAAAAAAATTCGATTTGACGCTAAGATCAGTTAATTTGAAGGCAGATTCTTTATTTTAAGATTAGACTGACCCTGTTTCTAAAAATCAGCAAGCGTCTTGGTAACCTTGAAAGTTATTTTAGTACTTCGTTTTCTTAATGACGACTATCCATGGAAAAGAGTCCTTTTAGGAACAGAAACCAATTTTTTTTCAGAGAGCACTTGAGGGGCTGGGTGCAGGAAAGACACTTGATTGCAGTGTTTCAGAATTTCTGCCACTAAATGTCTTAAAGAAGAACCTAATACTACAGTACACTGTAGAATCAAGAAGAATATTCAGTAAAAATGTTCATAAAATATGAAATGTATGCATCCACTTTCCTTTCAACGAATGAAATGTGAGCAGAAACTCTGAAACACTGCAACCCAGAAGTGCCTTTCTTGAACCCAGCACCTCAATTTTTTATAAGTTAGTTCAAAAAGTCAGAATTGCAATTTTCTGCAGAAAACATTCTTAAACATCTACAGAGCTTTTAAATTGAGAATTACTTAAGTTTAGTACCTACAGACGGTAAAACTGGCAGTATATTCGGAGTATTTTAACGTAAAACACATTGGATTAAATTTTCGAATAGCAATTCCTTCAAACTGCTAGGACCTTGATTAGGTTCAATGTATTTCAGACTTTTACTAGCCATTATTTATGTAAAACACCACTAAATTTATTTTCCGAAGAAATCCGTGGACAGTCTCTCATAAATATTCCAGGACTTGGACACATTCAATAAAAATCAGCATGCTAGATTAGAACCATGCTTGAATTAAGACCCATATTTGAGGCATTACAACTCAAAATTTAGCGAATAAAATCCCTAAAAAACCCTTCTCAGAAAAATTTTCCAAAACAAAGACTTAAGATTAAAAAAAGAATAATAAAGTCAAAAATGATTTGGGATATTCGCACTCTTTGCTCAGTTGCAATACCTCAAGGGAACCCTGAAATATCACCCACAATCACATGAATACAATAATTGCAGAGTTACGTAAGAGTGCAAGTTAAGAAACATGTACTTCTGGAGCACTGTGATTGAGTCAATCAAGAGATTACCACGTAAGAGTAAATTTTAAGATCAAATTAATTTTTGTTTTACTAATTTTTTTAGCTTCATGATTTAAAACACACCTGTCAACAGTAAATTGGAGAAAAACATGCAAAGTTCTACGGAAGAGACTACCCTAAATTTAAAAAAAATGTGGCTGAGTCGCAAAACTGGGTCTTCAGGTGGGCGTAAGCTCAAATTATTCAGGGTAGGTAGTGGAAATTTGTGGCTTAAGTCAAAAGTATTGATTTTTTGTTTTTGACGATCATTGCTTTTTAAAATTTTCAAGAATGTTGCGTTAAAATTTCAAGTCATAATTGGGCGGAATTAACCGGAATCAACCCAACTGCATCAAAAGATGCCTAAGTTCTTCTTATGCTTCATTTTTTCAACAGAAAGCTAATTAACATTCTGATTTGAAATTCTGAGAATATATTCTCTCTTTTTTTTTACTTTCGAGAATACATATATATAATCTAGAACAGATTCATACAGAGTTAAGGCAATATGTTGGTTGGTTCTTGATAAAAAAAAAATAAAACTTAAGAGGACTTTACACGACATGAAATGTAATTAAACTGGCTCCAATAAAATCGGTCTAATTTCAATAAAAATATTGGTGATACATCAATGTTAAATTAGACCCTGGAAACCCTATTTTCGTGACTCCATTGCAAACACTTACATTTTCACTGTATATTTACACAGAGATATTTACATAGGGACAGTTAGAGAGGACCCAATCCTGCGGCAACTTTGGGACTTTCCTCTGTAAGTTTCATTGCGATGAAAGGAAAAAAACAAGCAGAATCAAAACACAGCGATGAATATTCAGTCGCCAATAAGCAGACATTTTTTTTAAAAAAGACAATGGACAGAAAACGAGAAGGTTTAGAAGCAAAGCCATTCACCATTGAAAGCCACAAAGAAATCACAACGTAAATCAGTAAAGCTGAAATCGGTACTTACCAGTTTTACCTGGCGTCGGGAGATGAGCTGTAACTGATTTAAAGTTGGCGCCACGAGGTGTCCTACTGGGCGGCAGCATTTTGGCACTGGGTAGAGGTTTATTTTCTTTGTTCAAGCCGTACTTCACATTCGGCTGAAGCATGTCCCTTAGAGGTGTCTTCCTGCTGGAGGCTAAGCCTACTCTCTGCTTCCAGTTGTTCATGGGCTTCTTTTTCATGCCTGCAAAAATGTTTTATCATTAGTTTCTATTTAGATATATAATAACACTGAAGAGCCTAAAATAGTAGCAAATACTTAATAATTAATTTTGCAAAAGCAAGTTGATAACTCTAGTCATGATCCTAGAGCATTTCCCTTTCATAAAATACTAAAATCATAACGAGAAAAGGAGATACTAGTACATCTAATAGACCCTAGCTTGATTAGAAAATTTCACCAACTCATATCAAATCTAACTCATTGTCTAAAATGAAGAGGGCTTAGGGGCTTAGGGAAGGTACCAAATCGGAGAGGACTTCCTATTACATTATTTGTGCATACTTTTGAATAACGTCAAATCCAAAAAACGACAGTTAGAATTAGATAGGATCATAAGACTTTCAAGACAACGCTGTGTTTTGAGAGAAGTTTATTTGCTTTAAAAGCACAAGCTACACAAACATTACGTTCAATCTCAAGGCAATAAAAAAAACCATGACAATGACTATACTGCAAAAATGAGATGGGTTAAAATTGCTGCGAACATACTTACTTCTGGGTGGAGAGGGAAGTTTCAGATTATTTGGCATCGTGAAAGTACCATCTAAATTACTAGAGTTAATTGGTCTAAGTGGATTACTACTGGTAGAAACTGGATCACCGGGCCCTGGTGCCTGAAAAATAAAGAGGCCAAGGCAGGTTTTCACATTCGGTGCAGTCATGAAAGGGAGTTAAGAGACTAGATACATAAGAGACACGGAATTTGTTTTCTAGATTTCCTTTTCTTGGAAGTTTTTTCGATCTGAATTCTTCATGTAATATCACAATAGCCCTGCAGTAACTTCACCGCTGGCGCGCTGTCAAGGGAGAATGGAGAATTTGCAAGGGTCTGAAATTTGATGAATTTCCTGTTTAAGTGGAATCCTCTGAGTGAACTGAACACGAAGATACCCTTGATTCATAAATTGAGCAATTATTAGAGGAGATATGACAAAATAACCTGATCTTCTAAAATACATGTGTTTAAATGAGAAATGCCGCCAGATGACGTCACAAGGCGGCATTTTCTCACTTTTAAATCAATTTTTCTCCAATTTCCCATGTCAGAAAAAAATTATGAAAAATATTGCGAACTCAGCTCATTAGGCACTTTCAGATGAAGCAATAAAAAAATTGCGTGCAAATTCTCCATTGTTTAAGTACATAAAATGTTTGGGATTGTTGGGGGATAGAATACTTGATGGTTTGCGTTGTTTGAATTGACGAATGACTAGCATGTTTGCATACATTTCCTTAATGTTTTTAATAAATGTTAAGGTGCCTCAAGAGGTAGTTGGAATCATTCCATTGCAAATAGTGAACAGAGAATTTTACGAACATATTGATCGAACTGTCTAGAATTCAGAGAAAAGATGCAAAAAGGACTTTATGTTCAATCTTTCTGTGACTTATTATTCTCTCTCTCTGATATCAACATTATACATCCTCCACTGGATAATGAAGAAAGGACCCTTACCGGAGGCTGATTAACAACTAGGGTTGGTAACTCTGGCGATGACTGCGCAGAATCAGATGAAAATAATTGGATTGGCCGTAAAATGAAGTTATTATTAGAAGCTTGCTCCATATTGACATCATCATCATCCCAGGTGACAGCTTTCATTTCCTTCCAGAAATTCTAAATAAGAGAAATTAAAGAAATAAATACAATCAAACAGAGCATTAAAGAGTGCCTGAAAGACCTGGAATCAAAATTACCAGTTTGTCCACCTCTAGAGCATTCTAATAGACTGAGAATAATTTCTATTAGTACCTGTGAAAAAAAAAAAATGGTTGGACAACTAAATCTTATGCCCTCGTCAAAGGAGTAGGAAGTGGAAGAAAAAATTTTTAAGTGCAGAGTTTTTAAGCTTAGTTAGACATTCATTTACTTAAGGTCCCCAGGTTGAGGTGGTCCAAGTTAGAGACTTATTTTTGTCAACACATTTCTAATTTTCCATTTGGGAGAAGAAACAATATCAAAGAGGGAGAGCAAACAAACTCTGTCAGAAATCCCCTCAACTAATTTCATGCGTAAGAATTTTAGCTGATGAACACTCATTATAATGCATTTTTCTTCGTAAAACAGAAAACTCGAGTTTTTTATCTGATTTTCCAGACTGATCCTAATTACTGCAATTTTAAAATGTTTATTTTATTTCTTCTCCTGATGATTGCCGCATTGAAAATACTTAAAGATTGGTACCTTATATTCCATTTCCATTTCGTTTGTGACTTTGTTGAAGCCCTTGAGGAGTAGGAAGTATTTCATAATCATATTCGACGTTTTTGTCAACTGTTGTTCCCACACTTCCTGGCGCGAGCTTTGAAGTCTACTTAATTTTTCGCCATGGGCATACCTTTGTTCTAGATCATTATTTCGTAACTGGAACAACATACAAAAAATATATTAGTAGCCTTTAACATCAAGGATGTAAACGAAACTATTGTTACCATTGCTAACAATTTGACCGAGTTATTTGAACAGCCAACTTCTAACCAATGTAACTTCTGTTTGGTTTAATATTCCAAGGNGGGGGGGGGGGGGGGTTGCCCTGAGAAGTCCATAGAGCACTTATCTAGGCCATTTTGCAATTAGAAACTACTATTCCTGATCCATCTATAAAAACATCTATCTGCAAGGGAAACTAAGGGCACATGTGTTGTTTCTACAACTTTAGTACAGTTCCATAACACAAGATGTAGTCCATCTCGTCACCTTCCCGGCAAAGTATCACAAGCGCCATTTTTACCGAAATTGAGTTATGAATAGTTCCGAAATAACGAGATGCATTTACATACGAAAATAATCATTTTTTTTACAACAAATATGTAGAAATATGAATAAAAGTCGATTAAAGTTGATGTACTTTCGTATCACAAGCGCCATTTGGGAGAAAAGTATCACAAGCGCCAAGTTCGGCAACCGCCTACCTTTCTGATTGTTTTACAATTTTTGTCACGGCAGTCTTCGGAATGACTTGAAACTAAATTATTTTCGCATGTAATTACATCTCGTTATTTCGAATTTAATATTTTTTTTAGACTAAATATAAATAAATATTTAAAATACTCCATTGAAGTTGACGAACTTTCGTATCACAAGCGCCATGTAAGAGAAAAGTATCATAAGCGCCAAGTTGGGAATAATCGCTCATCTTTGAGATTGATTTTCGATATTAGTATCAACAACTTTTGGAATGACTTGGAGCGATTCGTCACTTTTCGGCCGAAGTATCACAAGCGCTATTTTTATTAAAGTTGAGTTATGGGTAGTTTTGAATTAATAAGATGCATTTACATACGAAAATAATATTTTTTTTAGATTAAAAATGAAGAAATATGGAAAAAGCTCCGTTAAATTTGATGGGCTTTCGTATCACAAGCGCCAATAGATTCTCAGAGTGCCCCGAGAAGCCGATATCACAAGCGCCAATTTTCAAAGAAAAACCCGTTTTTTTAAAGAAATTTTATTAAAATTCGAAGCAGGGAGGTGTGATGGATCTATATTTCAAGTTTCAAGCCAAACATCCGTCTTTTACGGTCGCAATTCAGTTTTTTGCGTCTCTTGAAAAGTTGGCAAAGTGGCGCTTGTGATACTTTGCCGGGAAGGTGACGATCTGTGCTCTGGAGTCAATAACTCAATTTCCAGTTTCTGAGGAATAAGGTTCGTTTTACCGCAAATGGTCTCATCTGTTCCTGGTATCGTTTTTTCTCATCAAGATATGCTGTGCTTTTTTTAAATGCGATAATACGAGTAAAGCAAAAAAAAAAGAGAACCAATAATAAAACCAAAATAAAATTGAGTGAATCTTACCGTTAGTTCTAAATTTCTAATATCTACAGATAAACTATTGTACAGATTATTTTTCTTTAATTCTTTGACTAAATCTTTGATCGCTAATGAATTTGTCTTTAATTTTGTTTCCGCTTGAGAAATGGCATCCATCACTCCAACTACTCTTCCTTCTAGTTGAGCAAGGCTTGATTCTAATTTTGTACGACCCTAAAAAATCAATAAAAATAAAAAATCAGAAAAGATGAAAAAATTGAAGTTAGAAAATAGAAGTAATTGAAAAAGACCAAAGTTTCAACCTCCACTTTGGGAACAATTTAATTTATCATTGAAAAACAACAGTGACATGCCATGCTTTGCGATATATTGATTGATCTGCCATTATTTGAATCTATGGAAAAGGATCGATAGACAGGGTGTTCGCAACGAACACCAAACGATTCTTTACCATAGCTTCAAATGGGGAAATATCGATAATCTATCATTCAGCCTCGCCACTGAAAAACAAATAAGCTACAATAAAAAGAAAGTTTAAAATAGGTTTGGGTCCGAAAATGAAAGTGATGGCTGGACTCTGATAATGCACAACGTAGTATGCAATACCGTAAATTTCCTATGTACTTCATTTTAAGTGAAAATTAATCTGCATTACTTCACAAAAATCTGTGATTCCATCTCAGTAATTTTTAATGGAAATTCCTCACGATAAAGTTTGATGAACATTCTCTAGAAATATCAAACAATTAACCAGTAAGTTACTTTCTTTTCTAATAAAAGGAAAATAAAGAAGAGAGAAGGAAAAGTGCCAAAACAAATTATCTGAGAGATTTATGTACCTATTTTGCAGGTGCTCATTGCCTGGTAAAAACTGCATTGGGAGGCTGTATTAACACTGTGTAAGGAGCCCACAATTAACCAAGAAACGAATTGAGACTCACCTTGCCAGATGACTCGATTCCATTCTCTAGCTTGGAAACTCGTTCGAGATCAAAATGCTTGCACTTTATTCGCCATTGGAGAATTTGTTTCTGTGATTCTAGGAGCAGGATTTCCTTGGTGATACTTTCTTTTTCTCCGAATACTTTGTTCAGCTTGTCCTTCCATTCCTTGATTTGCGCCAATGGCTTGCATTTGCAGCTGCTACTCGGAGGACGCTCATTGGCAATTTGGCTTTGGAGTTTCTGGTTTTGAGCTTTGAGCAGACTCAACTCTCTTTTGAGGTCGTCATTCATTTTCTTATATTGCAGCGGGTTACAGTTCATAGAGACAATGTTCTTTTGCAGCTGAAAACAAACACGATCAGGGTAATCACAGATAGTAGAACTAGATCATAAAGGAAAAAGAGATATCGCTATTTTTGAAGGTTTGAGACTCTTCAAGAGCAAATTGGTACACGTGTAAGAAAATTTAGTATTAAAAAAATTCCTGGCATGGATCATGCAAGTTTTCAAGAGAATAATTCAAGAATGGTTTGATATTTTCAAGCTCTGCAATTGAAAATTCTCAATCATGATACAATGGGCGAGGTGAGGTTTCAGAGTTAAAAATAAACTACATAATACATTTTTTTTTTAAGTAAACAAATAGCAGTTCATCTTCATCGATTAGTTTAAACTGACACTACATAGCACACCCTGCATCAGCAACAGATTCACCCGTGCTGTGTTTCCGACATAATAACAAAAAACTTTGCAATTCACAGGCTTTGATAGTTTTTCTGTATGTTTCACAAGAGAACTTTGTTTTTACTTGCAGAAATTTTGAGTATATTTCTTTATGAGTGTAGAAAATGCAGGATTGAGGGTTAGTAGGAAAGGTAGAAGGTAACTAAAAAAGTTGTAATTCCTTTTCCCACTAAATTTTCTGAGCAGTTACGCAAGGACATGTACCGACTAATCGCTCTGCAATTTCTCGAGAAGACTTGGAGACCGCAATTTAGTGGGTAAAATTATACAACTTGCGATTTAGCGTAAAAGCTAGGAATTTTGCAGGAGAATCCGTAATTCTTTGATCTACTTACTTGTGAACATTTTCAAAGCTTAATCCTCGGACTAATTTTCTAAAGATAAGTGTTCTTTATTACACTGAAATTGACTTCAAGAACACTATAAGAAAGTAAGAAACTTTTTGTAGGCTAAGACAAATTCACACAAATGAGGAGTCAAAAATTTTTGTTGCTTATTTTCCAAATTTTACCTTAGATTTGATTTTCTTGGCACGATCCGCATATTTCAATGTGTTGTAGGTATCTTCATAGGCTATCTGTGCCGGTGATACATTTGCAATCATAATAGTTTTGCAATTCCCGCCTAAACTGTCCTTTAGAATCCTGGTTAACTTTGAGTCACGATACGGAATATGCCGCTGGTTATCCGCTAGGGCATTAATCACATTTCCTGTGCAATAGTAAAATCTCAATTAGTTACACATGGTTGCCAGTGATAAAAATACTAAGTATTTTATTGTAGAATCAATAATTTTATATTGAGCTCTTAAACCAGAACTAAAGGGCACTCCAAAAACTTAAAATTTCTTCTAGTTTTCATAATATGATCTAAAATTCCTACTGGAGGGACATTATCAAAATTTTAAGAGCAGAAGATTTACAGGGTTATCTAGTGTGCAAAGGAATTCCCGCTTTAGTCATCAGGGAGCAGAAAGAGACCAATTATATGAATACAAAATGCAATAGTCTAAAACATATAAGGCACAAGAAAGCAATTTTAAAAAAATGATGACCCTTTTTTGTTTTAGAAACTGAGAAATTCGGAGAAAAAATAGACAATCTTGGTGGAAATTTCCAGAAAAATAGAGGGGGAGGGTTGTAGCAGAAGCTCAGAGGCAATTTGAAAATGTTAGTAAAAATCAAGAAACAATTGCAAAATTTAGCTTCGAAGGAAATTATCCGAGACATGGCCAGCAGGCAACATCATAGAATTTTTTTTCACTCTTGTGGGATAAACTTTAACAGTTTCCTTCAACCAGGGTAATTACTTCTTGAAACACTGATAAAACGCTTCACTTACCTTCCAATATGCGATAATTTTATGACTGTGTAAAAGTTCATCACTATTTATAGCTGCCTTTAAAGGAACAGGAGACTTTTCTGTTCATCAGGACACAACTTGTGAAATTTTGTCGCTGGCATTTCTCGGAAATTGATAGAAGTTTGGTTCAAGACTACTTAGTTAAAATTGTTTAAATGGTGCACAAAATGACTTCAGAAATAATGGCTGATGATGAAATTCTAGATTTTTCAAGCATATGATAGAAAAGGCCAAAAATGAGAAAAGGAGGAAATCTTTTGTTTTTGAGAATTACCAGAAAAAAATAGTAAAGAGGAAACTTACATTTCTTAAAATCTTTGATAAAAATATGGATTAAACAGTTTTAAGTTGTGAAGCTTCATCAATGGCTAACTGAATGGTTTCCTCATTTGCGAAACTTTCGGTTAGTATCATCTCCGTCAAAAAGCTTTAAAATTTGCAAAACTTTTTTGTCAAGTGTTTAACCGCTAACTCCTCAATGTATGCTGCTTTCTACCCCCAATACATCATCATTGAGATTGATAAAACAAAATTTCGATTAGAAAACTTGTTGAGATGTTCATTAAGAATTGCAATTTTTCCACTCACCTAAAGCTAGAAGCGATTTATTGATGTTCGAGCCTTCATTGAACCTTGCTTTGACATTTTGGGTGGCGGATGCCCTCTCGGAACCAGCAAGATCAATCATTGAAAGTTTGAAATGTTTGAACTGGTCAGTACCTTTTGGCGCCAGTTTGACAAATACCTGTCGCAAGATGACAAGCAGTGAACATTAGTGAAATTTTTTTGCAATTAACGAACAAGTAAATGTTGTTATAAGGTATTTGAAAGCCTCAAGGAGAGATATTTGACTTCTTAGGATTCCTCCATCTTGAATTTTCAATTTCCTCAACTTGAAAGGGCAAAAATCTTTGCATTTTTTACCCTCTTTCAGCAGCATTTCATGGGAGAATCAAGAGAGGTTTCAAGGTTTTTTTTATTCTTTCAAATACCTACTCCATGAGAATCATATAGTTTTTCTTTTATAAAAAGAGGCGTGCGTGTCCAGCACCTCCAAATGGAAAAGATCAAAAAATTTGGAATGATAATGAAAAACAGAATGGGTCAGTTGCGCTGGTCACAGAATTGTGTTTTTCAAAAATAATAAGATTTGTCCGAAAAGCAACTTTCTATGTTCCATATTAACGGAGATATCATCCTTCAAAATGTTGGGTTTTTGACGTCATCCACCGCGGTTGTGCATAACATGGTATGAGGTATGTGCTACCGCAGTGGATGACGTCATAAATCAAGTTTTTCAAGGCGCAATATCTCTGTTAATATACAACGTAGAATGTTGCTGTTTGGACGAATCTTAATATTTTTAGCTGCTCTACAAGAATAAAGCATCAAAACACAATTCTGCAACCAGTTCAACCGATTTGTTAGCATTGCTTAAAGTAGGCTCCTTAACTTTTGAAGGTGTGTATTCATGGAAAAGCCATTCAAACTACATGAGATATAGCTTACTTGGAAAATAGCATGACTCCGAGATGACTCAGCATTAGCATCAGTGGGATGCTGGGTCCTGTGTTTGTTTCCTTCTACCAGTCGCTCAAATAATTCGTCCTCTGAATTGATCTCTATCACTTTCATTCCACTGATCACTACGTCTCCATTCCTTTCAAGAAGATGCAGCTGCTTGGATTCGGGGTTGAGCAGATCGTGGACTACCTCGTTATAGACCTGAAAGCATTGAGTAGTATATGAGACACAGGTTTTAACATGTGAGAAGTTTTCAAATGGAGCATCGATGATTAACTAAGTCTCAGGACTCAAAATTGGAGGAGTTTATCTTGAGTGCGATATTACATTTCGACAGCGTAAGTCTGCAATCACATATCTCGTTTGCGGTGTCTGAAAATCTCCGCCTCTATGTTATTTTTTGAAAGGAGAAAAAATTGACTTCATTCCTTGAAATTTATGCAGAATTTTCTTCGCACAGTGAAGAAAAATCACGGCAGTTTTGAAGAATTGCTGTTGGGTAGTTTTCCGTTTAAAAAATAAAGTATAACAAGACGTCTGCGATGTCACAAACCGAGTTATGTGATTGCCGACTTACACCGTTGATTTACTTTTTCTATGAGCTAATTTCCCTTAATTTTTTCCATTTGATTGGCTTTGAAGACTGTGTCTTAGTTTCTTGATTGATGAATACATTTCTGATTCGATTTTACAATACTTACAATGCCTGGAATTTTTAAACGATCTCATTCCATAATTTTTTACACGGCAGAGGATCAACATCAACTCGCCTCTGATGAGCTCTCAAACTTATACAGATACATACCTGTATTGAGAACTTGAGTACATGAGCTCTGTCAATGTATGGGTGGAAGAGGACATGACTGCTAGATCACGACTTAAAGCAGTTGCTACGCCCATACCTGTTTCCTTTCATTGTGGATTTTTGGAAGCAAGTCCTCCAGGACGAATTTTCTGACATGAGTTCCCTCTCATTTTGCCCACTTCAGCCCAACTTCGAGCCAACAGACAAATTTAAAGACAAAATGGTTTCAAAATAAGAAAAAAAGGAAGAAAATTCCTGGTTTCAAAATCGATTTTCTGATAACACCTGAGATTTTAAAGCACCAATTGATCCCAGCAATTTTCATTTCAATGGTCATAAACCTACTAATATTTTACTGTTGTTAGTAAGAACGTCAATTATCAAATATTGTTAGTGCTCGTGTTTCGTAGTATCAATAACTTTAGATACAATGCATAATGGAGGCTTGCTTTATTCCCTCTTTCAGTACTACAAACCAATATCAGGATTATACTCGAATAAAATGAATGACTGAAGACCCAATCCAACCATGAGAAATTGAACCAACCTCGATGTAACCCACAACAAGCGTGATGTCATGATCTTCCCGCAATTTTTCAAGCTCAGCGTAGAGAGCCACCATGGTCAAGTACATGATACCTTTGTTCTCATCGTTTCCAAGCATTGTGTATGTTTTTCCAGCTCCAGTTGCTCCGTAGCTAAAAACTAAAAAAAATTGAAAAAAAAAAAAAAATTAAATGGATGCCAAGTGGGAATAGTGAGTGGTTAAAGGTATGGTAAGAATTGATGGCAAAAAAATAAATAAAATAAAGGAGTGGGCCCTGCTTCAAAAGGTGTCTGATCTTCAATTAACAGTATGGTACAATTCTGCCATGCTAAGGAAGAACGCTGTGTAAACATTACAAGAGTTGCCAAATCTTCCTTGATAAAACATGTATTTTTGACGATATTTATGCTCAATTTTCTTTTAAATTTTCAGATATTTTAGTTTAAATTGCGTACAAAATAGTCTGAAAATTTTGGAAAAAAATATTCACAATTTTTCCAATAAATTCGGTTTTTATCGAAGGGAACTTGGCAAAGTCTGAAGGCTCATACAGTGTTCTTTCTTAGCATGGCAGAATAAGGGGAGGTTCACACTATCCTGAGGGGAACTCAAAACCATCCTTCTTTTATCTCTTTGATGAATTTGATTAGAAATTGGAATACTTCACTTTGGGGACTCAATAAGTTCTAAATAGGCTTTGATAACATTTGTTGAGGAATTAATTATACCTCTTAAGAAGACAAAACTATTTTTAAATCTGAAATCAACATTTTTTTTAAGTTTTGAAAAACTTACACCTACCGGGAATCAAATGATTAGTCAATGATTTTTTAAAACATGGGTAGGTAAAATAAATCGTGACCCATGCATACATTTCAGTGTGATGAGCAGTGACAGAGAATGTTAAATTGCAGAATGATATAATCATGAAGAGGCGTAGAAGACATTATATTGTTCAGTTCTGGGTTTAGTTAGTTAGTCTTGTGTAGTTACAGCATTTTGGAATAAGGAACTACAATTTCTGGCTCATTCACAAAAGCATCTAGATCTGCAAAGAGAAATTAATGGTACATAAGTTGTTTCTAAAATGAGCAAGAAATAGTAGTTCCTGATTGCAAAATGTAGACCAGTTAGGCGATGGGAAATGCAGATAGGCTGATTTTGGTGAAATCCAACCATTTGTAGTTTAAAGTCTTAGAAGAAATTCTAATTCAGAGGGCTTTAAACAAAATCAGACTGCATTTCTGCCAATACTTTAATATTAAAAAGGAGATGGGGTTCAGTTTCAAGCGTATTGATTACCTGAGCAGTTGTAACCTTCAAACAGAGTTTTGATGACATCTTTTGTGGTATGCTCATAAACTTCATTATTGTCTGCATATTGATCAAAAACTCGATCGAATGTCAACGGAAGGTTTTTATTTACTCGCTTCGTTGGATCTCTTAATTTCTGTTTGACGCCATGGTAGAAGAAAGGGACATCGCTTTCTTTAGGATCAAAGATTAGGGATGTGGAGTCCACAACATCGATAATACTCCTGAAAAAAAGAAAAGACAAAAACTTTAGAAGAAACGCTCGCTGGTTGGACGGCTTTCAAAGACTAAAACTAATTTAGAGGAGAAATCTGCAGAAAATCTGTAATTATTGAGGTGGAATTCCTTTTGAAAAAAAATAAAAAAAATTCATGATAACTCTGTGGGTCTTTTACTCAAAGGTGGAGGGGGGAGGGGGCAAGGAAAATAATTGATCTCAAACTCCTTAAGTCCATAATTCTTTAATCCATCCTCCTTAAGTCCTCAAAATTAACAACACATGTACTACTATATGAATGATAGTACTGAGTTGAGCTTTTGCCAGAATCCTACTGCAACGAGCAACATTGAGGAGGTCTGAGGAGGTGAAAATTGCGGAGGCTTAAAACAATTAAAATGCCTGTAGGCAGGGAATGATTCCGATGAATCTTGATTTTTGCGAGTCCTAAAAACTCTGCTCCAAAATTTACATTCACAAACAAGAGGGACTGAAATTATGAAAAATTGAAGACACTGAAAAATGCATCTTTAAATTGGAATTAAATGGATAAAAGTTGGTGGTTACTATAATTACTTAATCTATAATGTATCATCTCCCACACAGAGGGGCTTACCTCCAATTCAAGGTGTTGCAAAATTAACTTCAACAATTCAATTTCTTACAAGAACTTGACTGAGTATTTTTATTTTAATTTACGGATTTGAGAATGATCAAAGGAAAAACCAGTGAAATTCCCACTTTAAAAACCACAATGGTTCCTCTGTACCTAAAAAAAACAACTTACTTACTTACATGCAGAAATTTTCTAATTATGAAAGGTAGTTATATTTATTTGTCCTAGAAATGACAAATTTTTCAAAGGACATTTCAAAGCTATGATGAATTATTGTAAACTGTGGCTAATGGAAAGAAAGTAGTTTTGTAATATGTTTTCTATTGATGTACGCATTTACTTACCTATCATTTTTTTCTCTTTCTCGTCCATTCAATGGCCTAACTCTGATGAAAACTTGAACATTAGAGTTCGTTGGTGGACTTGTGGAGGGTGCGGCAGAAACTCCAGTTGCACTTCTGAATCTTTTGATGTTTCGTGGGGAACAAACTTTTCCACCATCTCGTCTGCTGCCGAGGACCATGATTCTAAAAAACAAAAACATTATCAGAGGATAAAAAAGTAGACTAGGAGGCGATGAGCACATATCAATGAAACAAAATACAGTCAGAAACTTGAGGAAAAGCTGATCTTCCGCTATGATTAAAGTAAACACTTAAAATTTTTTTACAGCAGGTTGAGAGGAGTGCAGTCTACACAAAAAATCATGAAGTACTTAATCTCTGATAAACTTCAACAGATTTGATAACAGCTCTGGGAGACAGGGGAGGGTATTCAAATTCGAGTTCAATTTGATAGTAAGATTCTTCTCTGGAGCACAAAGAAACGTGTCCTCCAAGCATCCCATTACTTAGGGTGTACTAAGAAACAGGCCCCATTGATTTTTACCGATGGAAGGAATCTCACAGCCTCGAAGGAAATAGGGCCTAAGTTTCCAAGTTAAAATTTAGCAGCATTTTACAACTGCAGCCTTCTGCTTATCCATAGAGTCATAGGCATCATTCCAGGATCATCTTATAAGGATNGGGGGGGGGGGGGGTGATAGACTTAGGTCTGCATTAGGGCAAGATTTGTCAGCTCTTTTTTTACTGCTTGCCATTATAAGAGGGATTTAATTAAGAGCATTAACATAAATATATAGACTGACAATGTAGCAATTATTAGAAAATGTAAGACATGTTCTTCTCATTTTACCTTTTATACATACAAATAGGAACTACTTATGCATCAAAATTAAGTTCATACATGATTGAAATAAATTTGCATTCTACATTTAAATTCTTGTGTTCCTTACGTGGAAAATTGTGTGAAAACAGAAAGACATCATCTATGACACAGGAATAATGGTTAATTGACCAAAATTCTCCCTAAAAATAGCCTGTTTAAAGCAGGTTGTTTAGGTATAAGTTCAATACTAATTGTAATATGTGAAAGTTTTTCATATAACTGTATCAAACTGTTGAGCATTTGTCCTGAGAAAATGAAGTACATTATTAGGTTTTTCATAATTCGGGCTTTTGGTTCAGGAATAAAGAAGAAAATCTAGCAAGAAGTGACAAGCCAGTGACTCCTTCCAAGCATTCTTGCGCAGGGTCATAGAGTAAGTGGATGCTTATGGAGTTTACTGGTAGCATCCACTGACCAAGGGCTCTAAAGGATAGTGAAATTATAAACTAAGACGAGGACAATGTTCTAGAGATAATGAATCAATGTAAGCACAGCAATGTATCATCAGATAAAAGCAGGTGCAATATCCAAGAGAACGGGGAGCTAGTTAAATGAAATAGAGAGGGCAAAATACGATTCTCTCTTGAAATAGAATGCAACTGAATCATTGTGTAAATCTTTGAGACCTTGAATCTGGAAGGGTCAGATAAAACTTATCTGTAAATGATAATGAGCTTAGATAGGTATCCAATGAAAATAATGATAAGGTAACACAAGTGAATTAGCATCATAGGTACTGATTACCATTTTAAGTTAAGAAGTAAACTTCAGTACAAAATTGAAAGATGTAATACATCCATTTACTTCCATCAGAGTGGATAATTGGTTTACTTTCGGGGCATCAACACTCTCATGCCAAGTATGGCAGCACACATAAGAGAAGGTAGACAAATGAAAAGGATCTGAGTTGAATTCAAAGGAATTAATCGGAAGGTAAAATTACCCCAAAAATTTAAGAGGCCATAGATTAATGGAGGAAAAGAATCTACCTTAAAAAGCTGGTCGAGCTCTCGAAATGGCCTCAAGCTAGAATCAGTGAACCATGTTGACAAAGACAACACCTTGAGATTTAGCCACATTTGAGAGGCTTTCCTCCAAAAATTTACATGAGCGGTTCATTAAGACTGAGTTGAACACGAATTTGATAAGAGAAAGGTGTTTGACTCAGGTAATTTAAACGTAACACATAAGTACCTTCAGTGTATGACAGGCTTCAGGTCTTGATGAATGAAGCTCACAACAACACCAGTTGCAGCCTCAGTTTTGGTCAGCTGAAAAACCGAATACGGATCCTTGCGATGACATTTCTCGAGGACCTATCGACTAATGTTGACCTCACGTTCTTCTAAAATATCTACACTTGATCACGCTGATGGTACGATTCGAATTAGGGGCCATGAAAATTTAGAAAAAACTTACCGATAAACGAACTTTTGCACCCTCGCCGCCTCGCGTCGTGACTCGGATTTAAAAACTCCCACTTTTCACCGAAAAACAAAAACAAACGTTGAGTGACCGTTTTTTTATCAGATATACCAACCTTGCAGATTTTTTCCCAATTAAGTTGTAACAAATTCCTTGTGTTGTGATTTGCTGTTTTCTTCTCGTTGCTCCATTCGTGCGTCAAATAATGTGTTTGATCGTTTGATTTAATTTTAGTTTACTGGAGAACTGACTTTTGCGATAGCTAAAAAGAATCAAAACATTTTTCTACTTAGAAGTTTATCATCGTAAATTGGTCTTCGTTTTCTATCTTTCGCCATAGTGTTGACGCACCTGACGGTCACATGATACATTTCGCGGGAAAAATGACGTTCTTTTCTTTTATTTTGAATTATCAACGATAACGGAAAAAATTGATAACTGCGAACCGTTCGAACCATTGATACTTTTTGTGCGCTTGTTCGGATCGGAAGTTTTAATCGGGACGGGAACTTAGCAAACGATTAATGTAGTTAGTTTCTCTTCAATGTTTCCCGTTTTTTCGTCTCTTCAAGAACCCTCAATAATTTAACAATTCTCATTTTCTAAAACCTCGTGGCTCGTGAGCGATAGTATTTAAGTGAAGTCTGGTATCAGGGAGTGCTGCATCTTTATCTGTCACGCTTCAGCAATGGCAACCCCTTTCAAATTCAATGCTCCAATGTTTACTGATTTTTTGTCGTCAGATCAAGACGACATTAATAGACTAGATAAATTTTTCTGTAAGTTTTCATATCTTCTCTATCTTCGATAAGTTTTTTCACTCTTCTCACAGACCCTGCTGTTGCAACCGAAGAACATGTGCAGCACCCACAGTCATAACTCTCTTAGCGACTGTCCCTCCCCAGGCATTTGCCTCATGACATTATTTCTCAACCATTTTTCATGTAGGTAGCGTTGGAAGCAGTTTGAGATTCATCTAATGCAGTATAGAAATCAAAAATTGTGTTATACAATTTTATAGGCTTGCTTCTGCTGTTTCTCCTCTCACTTGAATTCTTAATTATTCAGGAGATTGCTGTTAGGTTTATGTGCTCCATCTCACAAAATTCTCAAACGAGGATACCAAGCAGTGTTCTCAGGTGTGCCGTAGGCTAAAGTCTGTAAGCTCTAGGCTTGGCTAAACAAACTTATAGCTAGGTTCGTGCTACTTTTTTACCCTGTATCATCATGTGTACGGAATTTTGAAGACAGGTTAAGGGTTTACCTATGTAATTTTGGTTATACGCTGTCTGTACAGGTAAGGAAAAGGTTCGCACATTACAGATGTATCTGTGCGCTTTGGATCTCTGCCATGAAGACACTCAGTAGAACCTAGACCCTATGTAAGATTGTTGTGTAATATTTAACAGGTCCTCTAGTCTATGCAACCCAGAACTGGTTGTAAGCTTCATGGATTTGATTGAATCAATTTCTTACAAGCTCAGAATCAGAGCTACTCAACAGGTCCATGCAGAGGTTCATACAGTATCACTCACTGGTGTTGATATGAACCAAGTTGAATTTTTTTTTACAGTATTGAATGAGCCTACTGCTTCATGAATAACCCATTTTATTTGTACTGTTCCTTAGTATCATGCCACAATACGTACTTTTTTGGATCAAGTATAGTTCTTTTTTTGGTGCAAGGGGTGAAAAGAAGACCTTAAGTCATAAGAAAATATCCTATACATATAGCATGCTAGGCCTCAACTCTGGTTAGTTTTCATCTGAGAGCTATTTTTGGTTTTTCAGGTACAAATGATGATCTTTCTTCCAAACCTGTCACCCGCATATCAATTAAGCAGGAAATTGCTTCTCCTCGAATTGGCTCTTCTGATAAACGTAAAAGCTTGTCTTTGAACAGTCTCCATATCAAAGAAGAAACAAAATCACCATCGCCTGTTGCTCCGGTAAACAAACGTAGAAGTCCTCGGTCAGCAACGCGTAATTACACAGGTATTTTAATTAAGTACTATAGTTTTTTAGGTATCATACTTATTTTCGACAGATGTCACTGTTCATCGGCACTTTAGAACAGCTCGATTTAAATACTTTTAAACTTCTAAAAATAATGTAGGAGGTCTGTAACATTGCATGAACTAAATCCATGCTTCGGGGGATACTGCCTCTTATTTGAATATAATAATCGAGAATTTTGTTGTTGCAAAAGTGTAAGTAATAATCACTATTTAGGTTGCATCCAGTGTCACTGTTTTTATCAACGACCATGGAGAATGCACTGACGTCCTTTGAATATCATTTGTCGGAGAACATCTTAGCTGGAATTGTGCAATTAAATGTAGCTGCAAGACTCGAAGTGTGTACATTTCCAGCAATGTCAGTTTTGACAAATTGACTATAACCAATAAGAACTGGCTGATGACATAGAAGATCTTAAACAGGCAGCGTTGCAGCAGAGCATCGATGAACGAGATTCTCAAAGGACATTAATCACAAAAAAAATCAGCTTGTCCGAGGCTAGCCTACCCGTTTGAGTCCCAGAAGCCCTAATCCATCCCCATTAATCAAGGAGAAGTTCCCAAAAACTTTATTGTTGATAGGAGCATTCTCCTCTGTGATTTTGATGGACAGGAAAAAATGGTTTTTTAGGGAGAGTATTGGTTGCATTAAATAAATGAGATCTTCGCAGTGGACCTAGAAGTAACAGTAGAATGAAGAACTTCACTGATTTTATCTTTATTAAGCTGTGTCTACACCAAACCAAAAAATTTGAATAATTTTAGTCAGGGAAAATCTGGAAAGTCCAGTAGTTTTTTCTGCCGGTTCTGAAGACATCTTGCGTACCCAAAATAGGTATAGTACAAGTTTACCAATCAAACCATCTATATTCTAGACACCATTAAATTTTTGGCCAACGTGTGTTTCTTTTTAAAACCGAAATGCTCATTCCAGAGAGAAAAAGTTCACACGATCTTTCTGAAATTCTATCATAAATATTACTTTCATGAGCTTTTTTTGAGCCTCTACAAAGAGCATTTCAGTTTTAAACCAAATTCTAGCACTTTTTAGCCAAGAAACTGTGGGTGTCACCACAACTCGTGCACACAAACCCACTTCGACGGTGAAAGTCGGCAATCACATAACTCGGTTTGCGACGTCGCAGACTTCCTGTCATACTTTATTTTTTAAACGGAAAACTACTCAACGGTAATTCTTTGAAACTGCCGTGATTTTTCTTCTATGTGCAAGGAAAATTCTGCAAAAACTTCAAGGAATCATGTCCATTTGTTCTCCTTTAAAAAAATAACATAGTTGCGGAGATTTTCAGACACCGCAAACGAGTTATGTGATTGCCGACTTGCACCGTCGACTTGTAGCATTAAGCTAGTTCTTTTTGTTCACATTTTAGTCTCTGAGTTTTTTCCTTTTAAATGGCTTCATTTTTCTAACTAGACCTGGAGAAATGCTCTAAACTCTTTAATTTTTTTCTTTTTTCAGCTACAGATGATTCCAACAGATGCCGATCCAGGTCAAGAAGCTGTGTGTCCTCTCAAAAACCAGAGCTTTCAGATCCAAGCAACCATGAGAGCATTTTGAAGTAAGTCTCCTAACAGAGCTCCTAATGAGCAAAGTAAAAACTCTTGCAGGAGTCGAGTCAATTCTTTCCTGTTTTTACCAAAAATTTAAAGTGAGATCAGTATTTTAGCAAAACATGTTTGATAAGTATCTTGATTATTCCTTACTCCTGCTGTAGAGTCTTGTCAAAGAAGAAATCTGAAGCTCTCTCTCAGCAAATACTTTGTATCTAAGTGAAAGTCTGGAGAGGAAAAGTTACGCCTTGAAACAGAAAAGGAAAGTTCATCTTTTATTGTTGAGCTTCAAATATTTTTTATTTAGTGTATTTCCTTCGAAAAATACACTATGTATTTTTCGAAAGAAATAGACTAATCCGTTTTTTTTTATTTGGACCATTGGACGAGATAAAAATTGGTGGATCACAAAATATTTTCTTCATCAGAATCTTCTGCAAAAGTTGTTGGAACTATTGAACATGCCAAAATCAACTGTAAGGTGAGAAAAAAGCGGAAGTGCTTACATCGAAATCAGTTAAGCTAAATTTCCCGCTTTCAGAAGAAACCTCAAATTAATGTAAGTCAAATTGGTCGTTAAAAAAAAACTTGTATCGAGTTTCTTGAAATTTCCTACCTCTTCTCATGCCACAATACTCGTAAACTTGTCACAAAAAATTCAGTATTTGTGAACATTATTCCACCATGAAGCACACTGAATTTTATCTGGTGCCCAACTAGATTCAAACACTCATTGGTTCTTTTGGTGAGCAAAAATTCTAATTTACAAAGTTTGAAAACATTAATGATTTGTCCAAGAAATGTCAGCCCAACTTTAGTTGTCAGGAACCCCCTAAGTTGAACTTGGAAAGTCTCAATATGTCCCTTGTATTTTTTGTTGAACTTAGCTAGAGAAAAAAACGTATGTTATGATGCTGAATTTTTAATCCTGTGTTCCAGTCTTTTTCTGCAATTGATTTAATTGATTCGATATTATGTCTAAATATTTATTTCTCATTTCCAGCCAAGCTCTTGAACATTTAACTGTATCAGCGAAGAAGAAGAAATTGCCAGGACAAAATATATACAACGGTATTCAGTTAGACCCATCTGTATTAGCATCAAGTAACAAAGAACACCCAATGATGACACGTCGGGATAAAATTATCAAAACTCCTGTATTGGTCCTACGCACTCGCTCAGTGTTGAAGTCAGCCGAAAAAATTAATCCGTCAGCTTCTGAGAAACGGAGCCAAGCAGCTAAACAAGAGGAGGCAGGTAGCAGGAAACGCAAATCTCTCCAACCTTTGGAGGCTCTGTGCCTTCCGCTTTTTAGCAATCAAGCATCTTCAGAAGTAGACACCGCAGATGTTGAAATGCAGGATGGAATGTAAGTTTTACATTACAAGCTTTCCCCTCTGAATTGTGTAGTGTAACTATACATTAATGTGACTGCTCCTGTGGAAAGGGGTGTTACTTACTCTACAGATTCTGATTTTCCAGGGACTGGAGTCCTTTTTGTTAATCTCAGTAAACAAATTGAACTTGAAATCTCCAACAAAAAATGCTCTCAAGTATTAGGAAGAGTATGTTGCAAGGAGTTTAGTTCATTTTTACCAATCAAAGAGTGTGAAGTCGCATTTTGAACTGAAAATTAAAAAATAAAGAATCATCTTCTGAACTATGAACTTAAAACCGTCATTACTTATTACCTACACTAGTTTTTTTGACAAGCTTCGTCATTTCTTGTGCCAAAGTGCTTGTAAAACAGGTCTGCAATGAAACTTGTGCAGGGTGTCTATAGGTCTGAAAAACTGGGAGGTCAGGAAATCTTATGTGGGAAATCAGGAAAATTCAGGTATTTATATGGAAAAAACTGAAAGTTGGAAACATCTTGAAACTTGAAATCTGATAAAATATCAGCGCTGTCAACACAATCAAATCGAGTCTCGGTCTTTTTTTGGGTCCAGTGCTCTAATTTTCACGCTGGACAATGAAAAAGGGAATAAGTTTAAATGGGATTTTGCAATTTTAGGAGTTGAGTGTAAAATACATGAAAAAGAAAAGTTCACTTATTTCTGCAATCTGTACTTTACAGTGAAGTCAATTCCAAATATTGCTCATTTTCTATGCGACAAGTGCTAATTGTCGATGGTAAAAGTCAGGGAGTTTCGATCATTTTGGTAAGAGAAAATCTGGAAAAGTCAGGATATTTTCTCCTGCTGAGTCTGTAAACACCCTTCTCATGCCCTTCCCCTTTTTTTCTTTGTAGATAACCAACTGATATTTTTTTTTATGAAAGTAGCAAGATATCTCCATTCAGATAATGAAAATTTATATGAAGTTCGACAAATAAATAGTAATAAAATTGAACTAGACAGAATTTTTTCAACCAATTAATTGAAGAAGATATCACTAAGTAATGTATTTCTTTGGACCCTCCTGTAGGAAAAAATGTCAATCAAAATCCGTCTAAGTCTAACCATAAGTCTGGAAAAACATCTAATTTTAATCTGACCAGCAAGGGTATTGGTTTATTATATATAGGAAGGAGAAAGCATAGGATCTTTGAAGTATCACTCCTGCACAGTGTTCGAAACTCACAGGCGCCAAATACGCCTAAGAAATCGGTCATGGCACCTAAAAAATGAAGGCTCTGCGCCATCGTGGCCCCTGAAAATCCCCCCCCCCCCCAAAAAAAAATCCTAGTTTTTCTGTTTGGTGATTTTTGTAATTTCACCCAAGTAACAGCTACTAGTTCTGTGTCTAAAACATCTTGCGTCTAACTTGTCACTAAATGCGCCATGAATGTCATGATACATAGGCTGAAAGTCAATTTGGCCCCTAAAAATTGAGCTTGATGCGCCACATGGCTCCTGAAACTCCAAAGTGAGTTTGGAACACTGCTCCTGCATTAAATATTCAGATTCACAGATCATCATTGGTTTTCTTTAAAATTGTTACAGTGTCCAGATGAAAATTCCTAAACATCCCCAAGACGATTGTGTGCAATTATCGTGCCCGCCTCCCAGGAAAAGCACTGTCACTTTCTCTGATGTGAAGTATGAACCAAAGAAGCCTGATGTAAGTGGTGATTCTTTTATTTTATTGGGTGATATTTTTATTTCAACTTTACTGTTCACTGAGGGAAAGAGAATGAAAAACCGAACTCCTGGGTAAAATTAATTCATGCGCCAATGCTTTATTGGGACATAGCAACGGATTCTAGACCAAACCCCAACAGAATATAATCCACAGTTCCTTTTTCACAGTCCTCAAGGTCAATAAAACCAAAACATTATTGCTTTTTCATTTATTTTTTAACTTCTTTACTCATGGTGTCTTTTTCATAGTTCATGAACTCACAGTTTGTCCCCCTATTTTTTCTATATATGTAGATAGTCCTGTTTGTATAGATTTTGATAGTTTACCCTTCGAGTATTATCACAGTTTTTCTATCTTTGTTCAAGTAGTGAAAACTCCCTATATCTATATCCTTTATTGTCTCCTGGTTATAAGCTTGAAAAATATCATTCAACTCAGAAAAATTGTGTGCTACCAAAAAATTAGCAATATGTATTCTAACCTACATATTTCAATAATGGAAACCATTGGTTATTCATCTTTCTTTACATGAAAATTACCAAATTTTTTTATGGATATACCTGAGAATAAGTTTCCCACCTATGAGGAATCCATACCCAGGTACTTTTGTTGAATCTGCCTTTTTTTCCATACCTACCGGATAAAAAGTACAACATTCGAAAATTCGGAATTGTTTTTCTCTCTGTGTTTCGTCATTGCTATTTCTTTTGTCACTCACATGATCTTAGGAACAACATTTTATTTTCTCTTTAACACAGGTGCACACAGACTCGAAAGGCCCCTACAATTTCAGCGCAAAACCTGATGCAGGAAGTATATTCCCAGTCACTCGTAAACGCCTCGTTCTGACAGAACCAAAAACTCCACAATTGAGAACTGCTCGTAGAAGTGTGGCGAGGACAAATAATAGAGTTGCAGTTATCAACTCAGCTGGTGGAAGTCAGACTTTCAAATTTCAAACGGTGCTTCATACGGGTGTGCCAGCCAATATCAAATCTGGCCCAACGGAAGTTAAACCTTTCAGCTTTGAGGAAAGAGATAAGCAGATGCTGTTGAAAAAAGAACAAAAAATAAAGCAGGTAAAACTTTCTCTGCAAGTTGTCTTAAATATTTTATTACATTTAAGTTTTTTTCTCCCATCAGAAAAGGAAAATTTCAGATCAGCCAAAGCAGGGGTCGATAATCTTCTGTGCGAAGAAATTGTCACACCATCCTTTTTAAAAGTTTGATCATTCATGGTATATTTCGAATTTTTACCATGAAGTTAAATAGTGCAATCACCAAAAGTTTGCCAATTTTTATTAAAAATGATGAAAGTATGCAAATGAAAAACCCTCAAACCAATATTTTTCATCTCTATAATTACTGATATCATTAGGAGACAAATATTTGGACCGTAAAGGAACCAAGCCACATCAGCTATTGCCAAATTTAATTGGCTATTTTAATTTTTACATGAAAACAGTTGTGCGGATTTTCGTGCAAATTTCATTGAATTTTCTCCACAGTACAAAGCAAATTCCTTAACATTTTCAAAGGTTCCGCACAAACGTTTCCTCATAAAAAATTAAATTGCCCAGTTAAAATTGGCAATAGCTGATGTGGCTTGATTCCTTTCTGTTAAACGCGGTCCATTTATAATCAGAAACGGGTTTTTACCAGTTTTTTGCCACCCAAAATATAGCCAAGTTGTGCATTACATTATCCTATGAACCAGTACCTGTATACTTGCTTAGCCTTTTAGGGTGAAAAATCAGTACCTGTATACTTGCTTAGCCTCTTAGGGTGAAAAATCACAAAAAAGCAGGAATAAATTGTTGAAAAAATGAACGCTTCTTAGCCCATTACAGGTTGTAGTTATTCATATGGGACACTACCATGTTAAGTAGACAGTCTAAATAGTTGACTGCATAGACCAAGTAACATGTAACATCTGATCTGCTAACTTATCGGAGGCAGTTCAATCGATTGAATGTTCCTTCTGTAGAGCTTATTGCCAATGCATTCTCATGATACATTTGCTCTGCATTTTTTATTTTAATTTTCTTGTTTTCTTCTCAGATGTTGGAGGAAGAAAGAAAAAAAGCTGAATTTCATGCCAATCCATTGCCATCATATCTCAATGTCAAAAAAGAGATACCTATCCCCAGCACTCGCAGCTATACTCTCAGCAAACGCCGCACTCTCTACAAATTCGAACTGGTAGGCACTAAAGTTGTAAGCGGTTCAAAGATTTTAATGAAGCCATTACTTTTTTCACACATTTTTTTTATCAGTCATCGCATAATGCTTCAATGTGTCGCAAAATTATATGTAGCTAGTGGCTTACAACAAAGTCTGTGATATCTTTAAACCTCCTTTGACTTTAATCCTTTAATCTTTCAAATTATCTGGAGCTAGTGGCTTATAACAGTTTGTGACATCTTTACAACTCCGTTCACTTGTTTTACAACAAAATTACTTTGGAACCCAATGACCTATTTCCCCTGAAAGCCATTGAGCCTCTAGTTAAGACTGAAAAAAGGAGCCTCTCTGTTCACCTATCTTCTCCATGTTATCCATTCTATTGCATGCTAATTACATAAATTTTCCTGCAATGCCTAGAAATACAGTGATGATTTTCCATGAAATAATTCATTTCATTTATTCAGGTTGGCAACAGAAGAATAGTACTTGAGGCACTATAGTGAATGCCAGGCTTGTGGGGACTTTGAAGTTTCCAATTTCATTTTCTGTGTTTTAATTGCATTGTTTCACCTCTCCTCCCAGTGAATCACTGTACTTCTATCTTTTAAGTTTATTGTTACAATTTTTTTACAGAACGAAAAAGAAAACCCTGCACCTCTGCCTTTCAAAGCCCAACCCCCGACGGTGCTCCAGAAAGACCCATTCATACCCAAGAAGGCAGATCGACCCTTACTAGAAATCCCTGACTTCGAACTGAAAACTGAAAGAAGGGCCCGAGAAAGAGAGCAGTTTGAAATAACCATGAAAGAACGGGAAGCACAAATGGAGATGGCCCTCAGAGAGGTATCGTATTTTATGTCCTATCGTACAAATAAGGGCTTAAAGTTTAGCCAGGTATTGGATCTCAGGATTTTCGAGAATGATACAAATTTAACGTAAATCTCAATCTTTAAATCTGACTCTAGAATTTTGGGAATTCCTTACTTTTTTCCTGCTCGGTAAAAAGTGGTTGCTTTAACAATGTCCCAACGTTATTTTAAAGTCATAGAAACAATTTATGAAGTTATTTTGGTAGTTGTTGGGTGGGATGTAAACTGCACAAGTAGGTAACTTCAAACATTTAGGAAAATTGTATTAAAAAAAAAAAAGAAGAAAGAAAGAAAAAAATATATAATTCATTTGTTTGGTTTTGTTTTTTTTTTCCTCTCTATTTTTATTTATTTATTTTTTTTTCAAGAGTAAAAAAGTGACTTAAAAAAATGTATATGTACGTTTATTGACAGACTTTAGTTTTGCATTTCACCCTCCGCACTTTTCACGCATCAATAATTTTGTGATTAAATGATAGTTTACCAAAAACGCTCAAATTTAATTCATTCCTCACCACTTCAGGCATGAATGAGGGGTGCAAAAAATTGGAAGGTACTCCTTATGACACGTTTCCCTCCTTATTGAATCTTACGAATTCTTAAATGTATCCAAGATTCCTCAATTTCTCAAAAAATTACTTTTTTTCCTAAAATCTCAGAGGGAATTTTCCAAGTTATGAAAGGAAAAGTCTTATTTTTGAATTAATTTCAAATTACTCATCTTTCTTTGAGTTTGCTGCTGTCTGATCACATAATGGGGAAATTTGTACACCTCCTGCATCAGCGAAAATACAAGTTTATTCTGCAAACAGTGAACTCACAATTTTGTGCTCATGACTGCAAGATTTTTTGAAACGTAATGCAAGGAAAGATTTCCAATGTCTGAACTCGAAAACTGCATCCCCTGGTCAGCCACATTCCTGACTTCCAATGATGACAACAGAGTCATGAAGCATTGAGTTGGAACCCTAAATAACATTGCTTTCATCTTTCATTACTGAAACTTGGATTCACTGTGGATGTACTTTTTCTTTTTATAGCGAGAAGCGGAACGTAAAAGGCAAGAGGAACGAGAAATTGCTATGATGCGGCAACAGGCTGTTCACAAGGCGCAACCTGTCCCTAAAGTAAAGCCACCCCAGATCAAGCCATCGATGAAGCCCTTAACTAACCCGGTATCACCTAAATTCTCCTCTCGGTTCACTCGGCAAGAGAACTGATCCTATCTTTATTCCTAATTTCATCTAATCTCTCAACGTGTACAAGAATCCTGCATGAGAAACGCAGAATATCTTCCGAGGCATGCTTTAAGCATTGTTACATAAGATAATTTTAATCCGATTTTCTACTCGTTTTTACTAAGAGACAGCTGGACCCTCTTTTTAGTATGTACATTTTTTGTTAAATTTTATATTTTATTTTAGTTGATAGCACGTATATGTTGCCTTAAGATAATTCTTAAGGCAATAAAACCGAGGAAAATGATCTGGAAATAATCGTACGAAAAGTAGAAACAAATGATAGACTTTGATAGTAAAGTTAGGTACAACAGTCAATCAGAATCAACTCTGAAGATGGGAAAGCAATCTCCAGAGCATATATGTCTTTTAAAAATTTTGATAATCAATTTTCATCTTAAAAAAAAAATGGACCAGAAATGACAAGGAAGAAGTGCTGAGTGCAGATAAATTATGAAGCAAATCTCATTCTGATCATTGATCTCATTGACATACAATATCAAACACTATGCTCAGAGCCTTTAACAATACACTGGGAGCTTCAAGTTCTACACAGATGAAAACATGGAAAAAGGAGAAAAAAATATCAATAATGGGAGGGGGTTGTAAATAGATTGTAAAATGGAAATAGCACGTGCAAGAAAAAAGTCAGATTACTTTGAAAAATAATGAAGTCCTCAAAAATTGTCAGCTTTTAAAAATCTGTGCATTACTCACGTTCATTATTCTTGTATTTACCTCTGAGTTTTGAACTCTACATATTAGGAACTTCCCTTTTCATACCAAATTGAAAATGTCTCTTTTTTTCTCCTTTCACAGTCCTTGCCAAATGAGTTTATGCATTTCTAGACTACGACATAAGATCAGTTATCCTGATTCTTCCATTTGCTTTACATGTAAAAGTGATGTCAGACAAGCTTCTGTCGCAGTCTAAAAATCTATAAACTCATTTGGCATGTGGACTCTAAAACCATGTCAAAATCAATTCTAAGTTAAGCCCCCTAAATTTTTATTTGAAATTTATATTTTCATATTTGTGTATTTAATATATATGTTTTTTTGTCTACGACTTAACTCGGTAAAATTAAATTAAAGAAAAAATCAAGGTATGATAAAACTTATTCTTTTCTTTCTCATCAACTATTGACAATGGGGGTAGGTTCCAATAAGTATGTACAAAAATCACTTATGTACATAGACTGATTCAGTGTCACAATTTGATATCGCAGTTTCGATGGTTCAAATGTAGACAATCACATAACCTTCTTGTATGTATTTGCACTGTGGTGGTAAAATGCCCTCAGTGTTTATTGCAATCAAAATTTCTCTTGTTTAATGACTTATTTTTTGATTTATGACTTGCCAATGACTAAGTTGTAGGGAATTAACTTGAGCAGAATTTGGAAATGAGATTATGCTCTATTGTTTTGGTTTGAACCATCACAGATCCATCCGTCAAAAATCGCAAGAATGATGTAGCCACTAAATCAGTTCGTTGAGAAACAGTGCAACTAAGAAAAAGACTGCCTCTTTTTAACTACTTCGGTGCAATCTCAAAATCAACAAAGTAAAACAAATACATACTAAGCAATTAAATTAAAAATTTTAAGAGTGACCAGTGGAAATATTGAGGTTATGGCAGTTTAATGATTCCATTTGACACTTCTACCGATATTTTGTATAAAAAGAAAAAAAGAAGAAGAAGGAAAAGAGTCAAGGCATTGGATTGAACCAAAAACAAATTATATTTTAAACAGGTACAAAAATTCCGCTGAGAAAATGCCTGTAAAACAAGCGGGCCATTTTCTTAATCAATAAAGACACACAGAAGCAGCAGGATAAAAAAATCATGCGTCACGCATGAGTTGACTCAAGTATATTCTGTAAAATCATCCATTTGCACTCGCCGATGGTATCGCGTATCGGTTGAGTTGGAATTCTGATTTTCAAGACTCCTCTCTTGCATAACTTTAGTTCCGATACTTTTAATTTTTCTCAGGCGTTCCAACCAGTTTGAGGCGTACGGGTTCCTGGCATTGCTTTGGAGGCTCTGCAACACCCTTGATGCCAACTGAAAATTAAATAATAAAATCAATTCAAATATTGACTCTGCAAATCTGAGATTATAATTTTCAGGTTTTAATTTATCAGAAATTAGGAAGCTGAGGGCCAATTCTATCTTTTTGGATAAAACTGTTGGTTACGTCTAACAAGAGACCTAGATACTTGAATACTACGTTCAATGAAATTCTGATAGAGCCACCCCTGAAACAGCTACTTCTCCAGAATAAAGACAGCAGCAGCTTGTCTGCTTATAGTCTGCATATGAAATTTTCTGTAAAAGTATCATTTTCTTATTCATTTATTTATTTATTTACATCAAGAAGGTTAATAGTGACTAATTTAAAAATGTATCCGGCAAAAGCCAACCTCTACTCACCGACCCTACAGGACCGACTCAAAAATGAGTCTATAGGAAAAACACAGTAGGTAGTGGTGAAGCAGCCCCCTCTAGATTTAGTCATGTCATCCAAATGTCCAACGGCTCATCAGCAAATAAAAGTAAGGCTTCAAAAGGGTGCTTCGCACCATGTGACCCAACTTTGTTACAATTTTCAATAGAGTTACATTAGCTTGCTGAGACATAGAAATGTACATTCTTCAACTTACCACATTCTGCTATATTTCTTCTGTGACTTGAGTCTACGTATGTTACGGAGGGTTACAAGGAGGGGCAAAAACTCAGCTTTACAAAATTTGTCAAAACAAATAAATTGGGTTTTTTGTGATTCAAAGTAGAATCCACAAAAATAAGGGGACTTCTGACATGCATCACATACTTAATGAAGGGCGTTTGAGTGAATGTCACATGAAGGGGGAGGGGATTTGAAAGAGGGGGATTATCTAAAAAGGTAATTTTGTTGCTTCAAGATGCCTCTGATGCAACATTGCAAAAATAGTTATTTCAATTGTAGAAATGAGACAAATTAATTGGAAAAAGGAAAATTCCACTCACATTAGCATGTAAAGCTAACTGCCGAGCAAGAACAGCTACATTCTGATCGGAGACTATCTTTGGTTCTGAGTTTCCTACATGTTCGACTAGCTCTTCTCGCACCTTGACCGTAACTTGGTTACTTCCATGATCCAACGGTTCAATTATGACACATGCATAATTGAACTGACCCTGCAAATAATTCAAAGGTTACCGGAATTAGCTGCTAATTAACCACAACATAACTAAATTATAGGGGAAAAGAGAGAATACACGCCTTTATGGTAATCTTTCAAAATTTCTCCTCTCATTATATTCCCTTAAAATAAAACATACTAAAACTTTCCGTTAAAATTTTCATGGACTTTTTTCTAAGGAGCTACAGAAAATTAGAAAAAAATTGACAATGTAAGGCTGTCCAAAAAAATAGGGAACTTATCACCAAAAACTCAAAATCAAGAGCACTAGTACTGATCATAGAGTACATAGAGTCGTAATGTAAATGGGAGAGCTGGCGCCATGTTCTGCTCGACGAATTCCGAGCCCGGTGTGCGCCGAGTTCGGTTTCGATACATTTTCGATCCAAAATGGCGGTGTGGAATACGTGGTAATTCCTATCTCCTTTGTTGTTGTTGTTGTTGTCATCGGATGGCCGGGTACCCGTGTATCGCAAACAATCGATCATGTATCGAAAAAGTGACCCGGCGTCACACAGGAGTCTCGGAATTCGGGACATGGAAAATGCTTAAAAGTGGCGCCAGCTCTCCCAATTACATTACGACTCTATGTACTCTATGGTACTGATGCACAGAAATTACTGTACAAACATTTTGGAGTAAAAATTTCAAGCTAAACGAGAATGGTGATGGTCGGAAAGAAAGGAGAATGCTTACCTTAACGGTTCTAATATTATAATCACAGCCGCTTTCATTGTAAACTATTGTAACAAAATCGTTTCCGATGTTTTTCTTTTTGTTGTTGCAATTCGGATCAGTGTCCAGTGTGGGCATGAGGGTTGCCGTGTGGAAAATCACCTGCATCACATCATCTTGCCAAACAAATGCGAACTGACCGTCTGTCCCATTCATCTCCAAACCACCCAGGAAAACATTTGTTGCGTCTGCCAATTTGATCAGAGTGCCTAGTCGCTGTAAATAGTCACGAAAAAAAAACAAATACAAATCAATTTACCAGTAACCAAGGGGGTAAAATACCAGAGACTTTTACCATCAATGACATCATACCTCTGATCTTACTTAAAGTTGAGAGTGTATGTAAATATCTTGCTTAGGTATTGAGATCTGAACTTGGCGTTGCGTCAGTGTCTCTAACGTCGTTTGGTTAAGTGATTGTGATATGTAAGTATGACATTTCAAAAAAAAGAGATCTCTTTCTATTTTCAACTGAATATCCATCCTTACTTGAAATTGTGCTTGATCTCACAAATAAAACGTGTCTAGAAAAAGTTATTTCAAAGTTCATCTTAGAGTAGAAATAACGATCAGGGTTTGAAAAGGGCATTATTTTGCTATGGTGTTTCAAACTCTTCATCAGCAATTTTTATTTTTCTTTTGGTGAGGGAACTATTTGATCATTAAACTTGAGATTTTGGCCAAAGAGATCATTAAAATATGAAGAAATTTCAGTTACACTTCCACTTCTCGACAATTTTTTTTCCCTATTGTCCCTTTCATCACATGGCTAGATTTTGTGTGTGCATGCCCCACAACAGACATTGGTTTGTCATGCTAATAAATCAAAGCGCACTTGGCCGGGAAACATCTGCAGTTGCAGTTCAGATTAGCCTAAACAGATGGAGCTACAAATATGAATACTTTTGAATAACGGAGGCAGAGATAATTGAAATGCTACGAGAAGGATACAATTTTGCTGAACATGGGATGCTGCATTTGTGATAATGAGAGGGTTTAGAGTATATAATGGGTAATTTTGAAGCAATGAAACTAAGAGGTGCCCTTTTCCCACCCAAGTCTTCAATAATCACTTTACCTGCAGAAACTCAGCATATCTGACAGAGCCAAATTGGTTGCGTAAAATTTCTACTTCCGAATTGGCTTGTCCTGGTCCGACATACAGAACGCCAATCTGAAAAAATATCAAATTTCAATGGTTAGCGAAAAAGGATTCTAACAAGACTGATAGAAAGAGCCTCCCAAAAAGTGGCCCCTTTTTTGAAACTCGGGGATTTCATTTGAATGCGGCTTAAATGAAACCTTATGATGAGACAAGCCTCCAGTAAAAATTTTAGCTTGAGTATACGTCTGGTTTCCAATATACAGCGTTGCAAAGTTTGCATATTTGAGCTTTAAAATTTCGCATATTTTCAAATATCTTACTTTAAAAAACAACTCCATCGGATATAATATGTTATTTTGTGACATTTTACTTATTTTCAATGATTTTCATGGCATGAATCGTGTTTTACGTGAAATAATGATGGGACAGCATTTAAATTCGTATTTCATCTGGTGGTCCTTTTAAACATGCAGAATTAGCTCATTTTTACACAAATCGCTTGCACATCTAGAGTTTTTTAATATTCATCTTTTGGAAGGAGGGGATTTGACTTTTACAAATACTCAAATTTGAGGCTAACTTCCCTTTTTTTTCTATGAAGCTCAGATCTATTTTCTGAAGTACAGTCCAAAAAGGTCACAAAAAATGTTCACATGATAACTTTGCTTCCAGCTTCCTGAAATCCTACGTCTTCTTCAAAATTAGTGTTAATGAAGAATCAAGGCCAGTACTGAACAAAATTGAAGTTTTTACGAGAGGTAAAATACTTTTTTACAAATGAGTAAGAAAAGAGAAAAAAAATAAACCTCGGATGAAAAACACACTTCACATACCTTGTGCGTTTCATAAGGTGGAATGTAGTCTAGAACATTGATGGTTCTTTGATGGTTTTGAGAAATCAACAAAGGTTTTTCTGTCGAGTGTCCAAAAAGCGCTGAATGATACAGTTGCAGAAATACAAAACTGAAATTTAAAAGTAAAATTGTTCCACATACATAATTGGCAAAAGAAAACTCAAACTCGTACTAATACAGCTTAAGCAAAAACAAATTGATAAGATACCACACACACTTGATAAGCATGGTATGGCAAGTATGTTAAACTGATATATAGCTGAAAAACTAATCAATGTTCTGTCTGCAACTTAAATGAAGCCATATGTATATAAATAGCGAGAGTCGAGTTTTTAAGTTCTGAGAAAATCGTTTTTTACTTGTGCATTTCAGTGTCCAAGGATTTGGTAGAGGATTTCATTACAGCAAGGTCGCCTCTAAAAAATGAGCTTTAGAAACTCAACTCCACGTTCAACCAATATTACCTGAGGAGCAAGGCCTTTTTTTTCTTCTTTTTTCTTTTTTTGAAGGAAAAATATTTGATTACCTAACCACAAAATTTTTTTATTTCCAAGTTTGATATGCTTGTGTGCACTGATTTCTATCGGAACAAGTTCATAGTTGCAAATAATTCAGTTGTTTTATTTTCGTTTTCAATTTTGATGAAGAAAAATCCTTCCTCATAGTACCCTTCCACTTAAAAGCTCTAAAATTAAAAATTTTGATTATGAAATTTTATGATGTAATCTTTCATGGAGACTAAACTCAAGGATTCATTTGAATGAGATTGTGTAATATCAATGCTGTCTGGAGTGCATATTACAAAAAATGGAGCATAAATTCTTATTGTGCATCAGATCAATTTATGTTCTAATTTACAAAAGCGGATGTTGACTTTTACCTTGGATTTACGCCGGACTTGATTGTTGGCTCTTTGGGCCGGGGTATCGAATTGTGTTTGGCCTTGGCGGAGGATTCCCATTCCATTTTAGGTTTCCGCGCAGGACTCATGACGGATATTGTGTGACCTCTGTCTCTTTTGAAAGCTAATGGTGGCAAAGTGGCAGGGTCTTTCCTTCGGTCTGCTTCAGAGGGCGTAGCAGATTCCTGACAGAATGAAAATAAAAATTAAACAGCTAGAGCTTTGTAGAATTTTATCAATATGTCTTGATTGAAAAAGTTCTATCTTATAATACTCTTTATCAACCAAGGTTAAATAATCCTGTTAATTGGAGGAGGAACATAATGAGAATTTTTAGCTGTAATAAATATATGATTTTTATTTCAATGATCTTTGAAAAAATCAAAATATCAACCTAAAATCATTTTAAATCTTAAATTTATCAATTAAAATAGGTGCTCACTAACACGAAACGGATATTGCATCACCTCAAATAAAACAGGAATATTGTCTATGAGCGGCTATCAGAAATCCTTGCTGAAAGTTAAAATTTCACTCTGATTTGAATCTGATTTGGATCCACCGGCATAATAGAAAAAATTGAGTTCTTACCTTCCCATATTTATACTGCAGTCTCGGCGATAACTGTGAAGCAGCAACTGTGGGCGCAGGGAATTTCAGAGCTGATTGCGACTGTGCGTGACTTGACGGAAGAATGTTCAAAAGAGTGGATGCACCACCACCATCCACCGAGTCAGTCCCATTCAACGTTACCCCTGAGCTTTCATTGACTTTCGATTCTCTCGAAAATGGAGCAGCAGTATTGAACTCACTTGCTCGTTTATGATTATCAGAGACACTAGACCAGGGTTCAGGGTCTATGGAAATCAAGGAGGGATGAGAGCCGGTTATGGTCTCCGGAAGTGTAGCCAGCGTCACTTGGTGGTGGGGCGTCTCTAAGGATGATGAATTTGCAGTTGGAGGCGTGGAACCTTGACTTGACATTTCCTCTGGGATTGCCTCACAATTTGTTCTGTAGAGGAGAAGAGTTTCAGTTAATAGCAGTGAAAATTTGCAATTGTTCAATCCAATTCAATCGGTTTTCCATTAAAACTGACTCTGAAATCTTTCTGATTTCCTATCTGAGAAAAGCACTGATAAATATAATCTAAGATTCTCCATTATGAACAGGAACACAAACTTTCATCACAACTAATACCTAATGAGGCTGATAAGCTTCAAAAACCTGTCCCTTTCTTCAGAGTTGAGGCATTTTCGATCAAACTTCACGAACTTTTCTATCTTACATTTAAATCTTTTTTAATATCACCTTCCACATTAATGATGTTATGAATTTGAGTTTTCTAGTTTCACATTTTAGCATACTTACGCAATGACAACGTTTTTCTTAGTTTTACAATAAGTTTGTTACTTTCATTTTACGGATGTTTCTCCTTTAACCTGCATGAGTTCAGTTGCTTCAAAAACTACAGAAAACTTCTGTTGATTCAAAATGCATGGGTAAACAGTTAATTTATTTTTCTTTATAAATGAGGAACATTAATAAAATATGTACTTATCATTCATTTTTTTGAGCCTAATGAAGATATATAAAATTCAAAAAAACTTCCTTTACCGTCATTTTTTTCAGCTTTCCAAAGAGCTTTCGTTTTTTTAAATTTAGTGTGTTGGTTTGCAAATGAAGTCATTTTTTCTGTACCCACTTCTTGCTACTGTGTGTCCTAAACTTTTTATATGCTACAAGACTTGTCAGATATTTGAATGCTTTCAACTTTAGAGGAAGTGAGAAGAATTGTTATGGTTACATAAACCTAGCATGATTTTGAAGTTTTGTAACGGTAAGATGGATTGCAAGTTTGGAGACCTTGCGAGAAACTTTTACCTTAGATCCTTATTAAACATCTGCTTGGTTAATTTCTTTGACTCAATTACACCATCTTTGTCCTGTTCTTGCTTGCACTCTTTTTGAAGGAATGGATTTTTCCAATTGGAACTCATTTCAGGACTTGAGTTTGAACGTCTTACAGGATTTCTATTTTTTGAGTTAGCTGAAACATAAAAACAAAGAAGAATAAGAGGGATACAATCACACAATGTTCGATGTACATCAAAACTAATGATACCTGAAACCTGAACTTACAAGAGAAGAAAATGTTTAGGAAGGCAAAAAAAAGTATAATGGGCCGATTATAGAAAATTTAACAAATTTTAATACTACTAAAATGAAAAACGAAATTTTTAAGTTTGCCAGCCATGATCCAACATAATTTTGGCCTTTTTTTTAAAGTTTGATCATCCTTAGTTTTCATTTTTGAAACTCATAGATCTCTTACTTATCTGATCCAATTCAAATATCCCTCTCGCTGTAGCTAAGATCTTGGATGCAGGTTGCCTTTTACCACGATTTAAAGTTTGTGCAGCCTTGCATTGAAATCAGCTGCATGGAACATGGATTGTAGCAGAGACTATGCGCAATGGGCCTGTTGCATGCAAGAGATACAGCCGCGCGAATAGACTTTTCAGGGGTTAAATGACACGAAAAGTACGATGGTCTCACTAAAAAAGTCTGAAATACACTCCTTACTGCGCAATTTGCGTTGTTAGGAACACGCTTTTTCAAATTTCCCGCGTCTGAGGGCAGTTTTCTGATCACCGGAAACGAGCAAACGGCGGGCTCGGTAATTTCCGGAAGATGCCGAGTCGTTGTTGTTGTTGTTATTTTTTCCTTCAGTTTATTTACAAACCCAACGTGATCTCTTATAGTGGTCCATGTACGCTTTATGTGGTAACGAAATCGATCAACTTTTAAATATCCAACGCAATCCTTCTACATTTCATTTCACGATATCACGAGCTCCGATTTTTAGGTTATGTTGTCAGTTTTAGTTGACCGGAAATAGCCGCGAGTTGCCGTTAGAAAACTGCCCCCAGACGCGGGAAATTTGAAAAAGCGCGTTCCTAATAACGCAAATTGCGCAGTAAGGAGTGTATTTCAGACTTTTTTAATGTGACCATCGTAATTTTCGTGTCATTTAACCTCTAAAAAGTCTATTCGCACGGCTGTATCTCTTGCATGCAACAGGCCCATTGAGACAGTGGCTATAACAGGAGGAATATTTTCGGACGTCAATTTGGATTTCTCAGCAATTTGCAATATGATAGAGGCCAGAAATATGCAATATTGAACTCTTTTTTTGTGGATTAATATTGGCAAAATAAATCTGGGCGGATTCCTGTGAGCTAAAGGCATTTTCCACTTTTCAAAAATGCCACAATTGAAAGTTACGAAACAAACAAGGGTTTTGAATAGCCTCTAGAAATGAGATGCTGAAGTTTCATAATTTAATGCGTGTTTTAAGTATACTTACAATCAAAATCTTCTAGATCATCTTCCTCATGAACGCTGTCAATTGATGAGTGCCGCGAGGGTGAGAAAGGAATGCTCACAGGTTCTGAAACTATTCTTTCACAACTGCCAGTTGTTGATGTTGGGTTTGAGTTGTCTTTCAGGGACTCAACAGAACTGCGGTGGTTTTCGAGACCATTCTGATGATGATTAAAAAACAAAAGATGTTGAGAAAGCTTATAATCACAATGGGTTAGTGACTCCTATTTTCTTTCATTAATTTGCTGAAAGAACAGAATGAGCTAAGCTTCTAGGAATTCTTCCAAACTTTTCGAACCTTACATAGCAAAACAGTCCTGTTTTGAAAATGCCTAAAATAGGAATTGTTTGTAACAATATTTTTAGCAGGCTTTGATGACATACTCACTGCTTAGACAGGAAAAAAGGCGTTTGCTGACTGACTGAACTTATCCTCGGGCATCACCTTGCTATGTCAACTCAAATGTCAGCTTTTCATCACTTTTTTCGCCCATGAAAAAGGATTTTGTGAACTTTTTAAATTTTTTCTTGGTTATTTCACGTTTTACGTCAAAAAATACTATACCACAACCCTGCAATCATTTAAAAGGAAAGACACACAAAAATCATGACCATAAAAAAAACGAGAGTTGAATCTGTAAGAAGCCAAGGAAGTTCACAGTTTCAGTCAATTATTGTGAAATTGAAAAATTCTTTGTGAAGTAAAACAAAACAGCTTACCAAAAGAGGTTTCAGGGCTAGATTTTCCTTGGCCTCGTCCTGAGACGGCTGGTAGATTTCCTCCAATCGTTTTGATATCGTTGGGAAGAAAAGGGTTGTTATGTCTGTGAATGGGAAATCTGGCAAATAATGTGACGTCATTTCATTTTGCAAACGCATCATCCAAGAAACATCACCTTTAAATGAATAATTGACATCAAAATTAAAAATGATATAATTAATAAAAGGTCCAGAGCACATAATAAACTTGCAAACTTAGAGGAAGAAAAATAGGACATCCATATTGGTGGGGATAAAGGAGATCTTAGCAAATGTCTTCAGATGATACAAAATAATTATCATATTAAGCAAAAATCAAATAAGAAAAAACAGCAGCAACAATCAAAAGATATTTTTTTGTAGGAGGCTAGAAGGAACTAAAACAAAACTAAAAACAACTGAAAAAATGAGGTAAAACAACTATGAGCTTGACAATTAAGAAGGAAAAAAGAATCGGAAAATTAAAAAACTCAAACTCACAAAAAACATTAAGTAAACGCTGACATGTTTTAGGACCCTGCTGTCCATGTTTCGAGGCTGAAATTTTGATTGCATGGTTACCCTTAATGTCTTGTTAGATTTGATTCCTGTCAGGGGTAATTGGATGGATGCAATAAGAGGAGACAGTTGGATGTCTTAAAAGCAATGAAAATATATAAAAACAGAGAAATGATAGTAAATTTCGATTCAGAATGTTGGGAAAACTGTTTACCTGAAGTGATGGGTGGCACCCCTGATAGAGGTCAAGTCAAACAAAATGTGAACAACAACCGGCTAGCAAGAATTCAGCCTTGAAAAAGGTCCCAAAGCTCGACAGCTTTTACTTTAATTCATTAAGTAAGTTTACGTTTTTTTAATACATAATAAGATTCTTTTTTCTTCCTTTGAAGTTATCAGTGTTCCATATGTATTTCCCGCTATTTTCATTCTTGTGTAAGCCGGAAATAGAGGTCAAAATGTAGAAGGAGAAACTTGATTTTTTAAAATCGGTTTCCTTTCTCACCTGTTGGTCTTCTGATGTATACCTCCGCCCAATTCTGACACCAGCAGATGCAAACCTGCCGTTCTTTTTCTGTGGAGCCTTGATTGGCAAAAAGGTCTAGTTTATTTTCTGGCTCAAAATCATAGAGTTTCTTCTCTTCCACAGGTGACCGGGAATTTGTCTGAAAAATTAAGACGAAAATTAGCCAACTTAAATTCATCTTTCATTCTTTTTCTTATGTTTGTTACACAGCTTCCTCAGAGAGAGAAAAATAAAGTTTTAAAATAAGAAATAGTTTTTATGAAATACATTGAAGTGATTTTAATTTGACAGATTGAACTTCTTCTGACTGAATCTGTTTTTATTTTTACGTTTCAAAATGTACTTACATCACCGGGGTTTGGAGCTTTTCGATTCTTAGAATCACTTTCTGCAGCTAAAGGTGAGCCAGGTTTGGCATCTGTAAGAAAACAATTTTAAACCTTAAGATGTATCCTTGAGCAACAGAAAAAAGTTATTAGACTGCAATATGCTTTCAATTTTATATTTTTCAAAAAAAAAAAGAACATTTTTAAGAATACAAATTGAATCAGGCTACTTTTGAATCACAAAGCTTGGTTGCTGGGTTACGAAATCAAGGCATATTTTCTGGATATAGTTGGAAATGGCAAGTTCGCCCACAAATACATTTTTGGCACTTTTTGTACATTCTGATCAAGGAGCCGAGTAAAGTTGAGGATTTTCTCAGGAAAAGGACGAGTAGAAGCTTACACCCTTTTTAAGGAAACGCATTTTCTGAATCCTGGTAATTAGAAATGATATAGACTTCATAGAGTGTGGTGGGAATATTTATTAATTTTGCTGTGTTTCTATAGGAGGCAGCATATCATCACACCTTGTCAATTCGGCGCATACATATTGGGCATTGTCTTATTCACACATTAACAGTTTATGAATGATCGCTTAAATTTCTCTTATTTTTTGGTTAAAATGAAAAATGAGACATGTATGCAACATTCCATCCTCCTTCTACACTTGCCACAAGAAAGTTGATCCACATAAAAGGGTGTATACCATGTTTTTGTAAAAGCTTTACTGTAGAACAACCATTCCGTCTGTTGATCTGCGCTTTTGCATACTTTTTATAAGAGTGAGGTTGCAGGACGGATCAACCATTTCGGAGAGGATACGTTTTTCAATATTTAAAATTGCTTTGTCTCAAAACTAAAAGTTTTGTTGGACGCCCTTTTACCAAAGAAGTTGTGAATTGATACTTGGGGAAAATATACTTTCAACTTCGAAAACAAGGTCAATTTGTAGTGCAATTCACCTTTGTCCAATCGACATAAATGATTGCATCTATCACAGAGATCGTTTCGAATTGGTTTTTGAGAGCATCCACTGGTAGTGACAGTAATGAGCTTGTTTCCTAGGAGCCACGTCATGGATTGTCCTCCATGTAGCAAAAACTCAGCGCTAGGTTGTCTAAAACAACAAAACAGATTTGGAATCAAAATATATTTTTAAAAAAATAAAGTTTTTTGGTGGGAAAATGTTGCTCATTTTCATATGATCGTGCTCAAAGTTTTATCTACATGTTTAGTCTGGAATGGAAACAGAAAACAAAAGAAGTACAGTTTTGTCGGACTTGGACAAATTTATGCTCAGTTTTAATCTATGACCTACTGTTCTTCTGAAATGTTTCATTGATAACACTTTTAAAAGATGTTCAATCGATGTCGATAATCCAAAGAATAATTTTCAACTTGAATGGATGTGGACAAATATTCTAAGAATTACTATTTCACTTGATGTGTTAGTTTCACATTTCATTTTGTGTACTTAAAATGCTTTATATTCTCGACACAATACCAACTTTTCAAAAATGTACTAATATCTCATACATAAAGATGACTCAAATGTAGTTTAGAAAAAAATGAAGAAAAAAAGGACTGCGAGACAATCACCAAGATTTGGAAAATGCATTGATATAAAAAACTGAACTGACCTAACTGGCATGGCAGCACAAGTGGAAAAGGTGTACCTAGCCATGAGATCAATACAAGTTTCCGTCAATTCACGGTGGAATGTCATTAGCGCTTCATCTATTGGAGGTTTCAGATCTGAGACAGGGCCCCGAGAATCTAATCGAGAGGCTCCACTGATGGGCCTTTCGCGCCTTCTGCTGCCCTGAGAAGAGAACAAAACAAGGATAGAATTAGACGAGTGGACATAAAATCAGTATGGCTATGTTTCCTTACGCTAACAAATTGCTTGGTGAGTTCAATTTCTAACAGTGGTTACTGTTGCTAGCTCCTTACCCTTCAAGTTTCAGACCAATAAGGGCAGGAGTTCCGCAGGGTTCCTGTCTTTCCCCCCTTCTCTATTCCCTTTTCACCACAGACATCCCGCAGTCTGGGAGAGGGGGGAAACTGGGAGTTTATGCCGATGATACGCTTGTGCTAGCAGCGTCGAAAAGCTACAGGGAGGCACGTTTTAACGCTCAATCCCACCTAAACAGGATTAATAAATGGACAAACAAAGATAAGACCAAATTAAATGCGTCTAAATCGGTAGAAATTGTATTTACCAACAGGCCATTTACTCATATTCCTCTTCACTTAGGAAACTCTGAAATCCCTCGCGACACAGTCGCCCGATATCTCGGCCTCCACCTGGATTCCAGGCTCAAGTGGGGTGCACACATAAAGAAAAAAGTCGAGCAATTAAGACTTAAATTTCATGATATGCAGTGGCTGATTGGCCGCAAATCCAAGTTATCTCTAGAAACCAAACTGCTCCTCTACAAGTCAATGTTGAGGCCGGTTTGGAGTTATGGCTGCCAGTTGTGGGGCTGTGCAGCCAAGTCAAATTTAAAAAAGATAGAAGTCATACAAATGAAAATATTACGAAGCATTTCAAAAGCCAGATGGTATGAGAGGAACGCGGATATTCGCGCCGACCTCAACATTGATTCTGTAGAGGACTACATAACAAAAATGTACAACTCTTACGAAACTAGGCTGCATAGGCATCCCAACCCAGAAGCGCTTGCGCTTCTGGAAAAGGACCAATGCACCCGAAGATTAAAACGTCGCAAACCCCACGAGCTTGGAATTCAGGGGTTCTCAAAATTATCCTTCTTTTAAACTGACGGGCCTCCTTGTGCTCTTCGAACGCAATCAGGGGCTCTTGGGCATTTGACCGGGTTCGGTCACCCGCATTCCATGTCAAAGCAAAAAGACATTTTTACTTTGAAGCAAAATTGTTTTATTTTTCCCTCCTCATTTTTCAGAGGTTGTATTTCTCTCCATATAAATTAAAAAAAATGTGTGTAACCTAGTATAAGTTTATCTTATAAGTTAAACCCAAGTTTTTTAAAGATGTATCTTACATCTAAAAACATTCTGTACATATTATAACTTTTGTACAAATAATAAAAAAAAAAAAAAAAAAAGCTCCTTACCCTAATAAGGCACCCACCAATAAGCTTTTCACAAAAGTTGAATAAGAACTGACTAAAATGCTACTACAGAGCTTTATCGAGTGGTCGATTCTTTAAATAAAACAGAAGATTAAGGGCTTTGATACCTGTTTGGGGAAAAAACCAAGTAGAGCCTGTGTTACAGGAGGCTCAAGCTCTCTTCCAACGCTGCAACATGCCCACACTAAAGTTTAAAGTTAAAGTGCTAAAGTTTTGGATCATGTTCTCAGTAACAGAAAGCATATTAACAGGGAAACTGTAAAAATCCATATCTTGCTTGCGATGTTTCAGATACATCAATATAAGGAATACAATACAGCAAAAATGCAGTTGAACCTAAAAACGGATAAATACATCTGAGGTATATGGAGTGTGGATATGTGCCCACCCTAAAGGAGTGCATGTATTTGTCCATGGTACTGAAAAGGGTCAACCTTTCAACTTTGAACTCCCCTTCAGAGATTCTCCATAAAAAATCACGTCAGATTCAATCACTTTACCTGTTCTGTGAGACTGGAACTTCTTTTCCTGTTGGTGGAGTCTTCATTAGTTATATCAACATTTTTCATCATCTGACCTTCTTCGAAAGGGACAAGCACATTCGCCTTCAAACCGGTAATTATGAACTTGACAAAATCCCTCCTAAATGTGCGACGGCACTTGAGGAACCACACAGCTATCACATGATGAGCAAGAGAGACTGTATAGTGATTATACTTGAAAGGATTCGTGTACGGCAGAGCGATCGCAAATACTGACATGTACTGATCACCGACAAAATTTGCAAATACTTTAGGCAATCTTGTGAGCACTGCAAATGAAAAAAATTCATATTATAAGGAGAGAAGATTACAAGGACAGAGAGGTCAAAGGAACCAACGATGAGTTAGGCAATCCAATATCTTTCAGCTTTGGCTTCCTAATGAAAAGTAAACAGACCTAGCTTGCTGCAGAGAACCTTTAGCATTGGGTAACAATTTTAGGCTCTCCTTGGCTTCTGCCAGGCAATGTTGTGAGTCACTTGGTAATACAACTGAGAATTCAATTATTCTCCATTTGACATGGACTAACCTAGGGAATCTGATGCAAATAACAAGTTAAATTTTGCAACACATCCTTATTTAATAAAATTCTTGAAGTACCATCCTCCCTACCATTCCAAGAAGAAAAGTTTTGAAGTTATTTTGTCATGAAATGGTAAATAAAAAATTGATTTCTTAAGAAATCATTAAATCACTAAAAAGGCAAGGGTGTAGTTTGTAGTGAGTGTACCCTCAACTATGGACTGAGGTCCTCTTCCCTTCAGACTCTCACAAATTGAGCACTGAAGACTTTATCTGTCAACTGAATGGTTGTAAAAAAAAAACAGGGTGAATTAAATACTTATACCCATTTTATGCAAAATAGCTGTATGTCAACCCTACACTTTAGGTTGCCTCTGTAATTTCAACTTTTGGTAAATACCAGCTTTCTTGAGGTCGAGCAATAAAGATTAATTTCCTTATACGGTAGTCAAAACAATTCGGAAGATGAATAATGAGTGCTTTTCTGGAAAAAGTTAGACCTTTCAGGAAGTTCCTTACTAGATAAAAATTCCAAGATGGGCACTGCAATGTAGACTGTGGCAGACATTTTAGATAGATTCAGGAGAACACCTGGTAACATTTTCACCATGACGTCCCTCATTTCAAGGGTGCACGTTGTTAGGGCCATCACACACTGTCGAGCACATCTTGAAGCAAGACCTGAAAGGTAGTAAAGAAGAAAAATTAGCTATTACAACAAAGACCCTACGTTCAAGACGTTGGCAAGAGATGCACCTTTCTGGCCAAAATGACTCTGGAACCAGTGTGCTATCAAGCATCAGATGAAACTCCAAGTCATGTTCTTTTCTCTACATGAGTTATTGAGATCAGAAATCACTGGACTAAGCTAGAGCTAGACAACATGCTCGTCAGACATTTTGAGAAGTTGGACAATCAGATTTAGGAACGAAAAGGTCTATACACATATGTATACTGTTCTGTTGAAAAGGTTGCAGAAATGCAAGAGGCTTGTGTAAGAAAAGAAAAGCCCAGACTCAAATCGAACATCCTAATTTGAGATTTTCCTGGATAAATAATATGAGTAATAATAATATGTATTTCATAATATGAGTAAAATAAATTAAAAATCGAGCATCATTCATTACTCACCAACTTCAAGACACTTGATGAGTTTCTGCTGAAGAGGAAAATCCAATGATGAGTGGTATGATGCCAGAGCCGCAAGAACTGGGTAAATATAACTATGAAAATCGGTCCTTGTAAACTTGGGGGGAGCATTTCGCAATGCTTCAGGCAGCCCTCTCGTTTTGTCATTGATCTAGTGAAAGAAGGAAGAAATTAAAAGTGAAAAAACCTTTTTTCTTGTAAAAGGAAAACAAAATAAAAGGGAGGCTTGAATCAGAGGTGTAGCAAAACGGAGTAGCTGTGTCATTCGTTGTACATTGGGGTCCAATGGCTCCATTTAAAATAGACACAAAACCTGTCTCATTGCATTCATGTCAGAGTAGTAGAATGTGTCTAAGTGTTCTTTGTAATTGGAGCTAATATTTCAAATATGATTTGCTAATGATAAAATTGCTAATGAACTATGTGACACAACAAATTCTTCACAAATTTTAGACTTTAGGTTACATTTTACAGTATTTTTGGGAACAATCGGAAATTGATACATCGAGCATTGCAAGAATCTTGCTACTAAACCCATCTATAAACATTGAAAAGAGATTCACTTTCTAGTTACCATTAAGCATAGAGCTGCTGCCAACTGGTCGACATCGTTTCCATTTCGAGCTAACACGAGAGCTTTGTTTTTGAGGGCTTGAGGCACTTCTTGGAGGACAAGCAGGAGGACTTTCCAATCTTGAAACAGGAATGAATAAATAAATGAACACATTTATGATAAAAATAGACTCAACATCTTATAAACACAATAGAGTATGCAAGCACTAAGTGATACAGTGGAAAAAATAGTTGTGTGCTTCCCATTCTACCCTCTACTGCCATCTAAAATTGTATGGTGTATTCTAGCAAACAACCTACTTTAATAGATTTTTGAAGGATTAAAACACTAGTTTACACAGACTTTGAGAGGAAATCAGCATTTATGTTTACAGATCCACGGATAAGGAGCCCATAAAATTGTTGCCAGTGGAATCTCCTTGTAATACTACCCAGAGCTGTAAAAACAGGGATACAAAAAAAAAAAAAACTAAATAAAAATGCCCCTTTGCTAATATCGAAATTTTAAGACAGGATGCATAGAAATGCACAATGATAGTATAAATCCGCAACCGCGTATCTCGGTTTGCGACAAGGCAGGCTTCCTGTCATACTTTCTTTTTTAAACCGAAAACTACTCGACTGCAATTATTTAAAACTGCCATGATTTTTCTTTTCTGCGCAAAAAAAGTTCTGCAAATACGTCAAGGACTTATGTCAAATTGTTTTCTTTAGAAAAAATAATGTAGAGGCGGAGATTTTCAAACACGGCAAACGAGATACATTGTTGCGGACTTACGACATCGACATACTTCTTCCTCAAGTTTTAGACTTTACTAATGTGCATTTCGACACTTCTGGGTTTCGTTGGGACAAGACGACTCTCCTTCAGTATAAACCAAAACTTTTAACAGGCTCAATCTACAGCATTATATACAATAACAGAGGTTTGGTCAAATAGCACTCTAATATAAGACCTGCATACCAAGCTCTTGTTTGAGGCAGGTGACAACTGCTTTGCAGGCTGTCGCGAGAGATATGTAAGTTACTTCACATGTTGGGTACGTCACTTTGGATGGAGGGTTGGAATTTGAGAGCGTGCTGAGAGAGCTGATGGTTGATGGGCTGGTGGGTGGACTTGCAGCTTTCTCTTGTGCCAGAGGAAGACCTATTGTACTGTGATGATCGACCAGTAAATAAGGAGAGAATCGGAATTCTTCTTGAGGGTTTAGCGGGTATCCTAGATGGTAGGTTGAATCGGCTCGTAGGCGAAGGAAACATTCAAAAATCTGAAAACAGGTTATAGATATTTACAGATTATATTTATTATTCAAGGACCATAACAGGATAACACTTCTAAGATGGAAAGGAGAGGATTAGAAAAACTGATAAACAGACATTCAACATGACATTAAAAATAACAGAAAATTTTGGGGGAAAAGTTGAAAAGGATTTATTTAAAAAATGAGAGAGAATAAGTTTGAGCCCCAAACATGGCCAATCTAAATTTTTTAAAAATATGTTTTTTAAACTACAAGCTTTAGAGCATCGTAATTCTATTTTGGTTAACATTTTTTGGGCGCTTTCTGAGCCAAAATGTAAGTAAAGTATTCCCCTAAGGAATGGTACCAATAGGTCAATTTCATTATCTGCACTTGCACCTGTAATTTTCAGCATTTGCTTCTTTCCTCATGAATGGTCACATGTTAATGGTGGAACTCCCAAATCACTTATCTCCTTTGTAATGTTTCAAATCTCTGCTCCTATTTTACTTTTTTAGAGGGAAAAAACCAACATCATTTCTTCAAGTTTTCACAGAATTTAATTCACTCAGAGATCTGAGAGAATAATGGCAGCTTTTAAGAGCTGACGTTGAGCAGTCTCCCAATCAAAGAGTGTAGCATGACAGGAAGTCTGCAAGGTTGCATACAAACCATTCGGGAGTTTCACCGCCGTAATACAAAAAGTTATTTTTCATTAAAATTTATTTTTAGTGAAGACTTTTGCAATGCAATCAAAACTTAGGAATATAGAAATGGATAAGAAGGGGAAAAAAGTGGTTTACCATAAATCTAATTGATGTAACTTTTTCCAAAACGCTAGGATGTTTGTAATGCATATCAAGATGTGAGACCAAGAGACGATAGGAGGCAAGAGCAACTGACGATGGAAGCTGATAGATGTTTTGGGTAAAAACTGATATCAGTCCAAAAATGACTGTTTTGATGTCTGCTGCTTCTGTTTCTGAGAGAATCGGTGGATTCGGCTGTTCGAAAGGCCGCATCAAAATCTTTGACGACAAAGAAAGAAAGAAAAAGAACATCATTCCCGGATAAATATATGCATACATTGCAGAGAAAAACAAGAAAAAATTCAAACTAACAGAAAAACAAGGTTAGGACTGGCAAGTAATTTTAGGAAATTTTCGGATTTTTTTTTTTGAATTTGGAGACTAGGAACAGAATTTTGAGCAAATATGTCACGTAATGCCTTAATTCATGCGTAGTAGCTTATTAACCATAGGGAAAAATTTCAAGCTCACAATAAGTGATTGATAAACTAGGACTTTCTCAAAACTTAACACTTCCCTTTCAAAGTAAATAAAGTAGCAGCCCGGAGCCAGTTAGATAGAAAAACTTTTTGCATCTATCACTTAAAATAGGCAAGGAGTACCTGGCTTAGACTAAACTTTTTTCAGACTATCATTTCTTGATTAAAATCATTCAAAACTGATCATGATATTTGTAAATGTAAATTGTTTCAGCGTTGATGCATAGCCTAACTTCTTTTGATGGATCCATGAATAAAATGAAAACATGATTTACCCGTTGGATAATAAATCTAAATAAGACCGTGGAAAAAGTTTGGCTAAAAATAAGAAAGTGGCACGGACAAAAGACAACTCTGTTTGACTCCAGAACCTTCCGATTGCGATGAAGGGTGGAATATCACTACGCATTACCTTTTCAACTATGTCCATTAACTTTAAAGCTCTTTTGGCATCGCACTCAAGACAGAGCTTAACAAGTAACTCAGCAGCTGAGTTTCTGACGATAACTTCTGATTCTTGAGCAACATTTTCTAATTTCGGTATGACAATATTGTCGACTAATTCTTCTTCATAGCAGGACCTGGAAACAAGAATAAAGGATACTCAAAGCTATTAAATGCAGCTTACACTAATCAGAGATTAGACTCTTACATTCCCTAGTTTGATACTATCAATGAGATTGAGGACCTTAGTGCTCAGAAGCATATTGCTCAGGAGAACAATTGGACTGCATTTTGTAATTCCGAAGCTCATATTTAATCCATGAAAGCACCTATCTGCATACGAGAATAATTAACACATATGTTGTTTTTTAAAAGATCCAGAGGTAGTAGTTCCCAATTGCAAAATGTAGTCAAATTAGCTAAAAAACATCTCTCGTATCCCAAAGAAATGACTGTTAGCCACTTACTTCATTTTTCTGCAAAAAGAGAAGGTGAAGTTGCATTAATACTCCACGCACACCGCACAGTGTAGTAAGAGTCGCCAATAAACCCAGATTACGCAGTGAGGGAAGGCTACACTCTCGGCGAGTGAAAGAAGTCAGACATTACATGAATAGCAATGCAGCCACTGAAAGGCTGACGAATGAGAGTTGCTGCAACTATGGGTAACAAGTATGCCAATACCTGCTTTCCCTGGTGTTCTATTATATCCAAAATTCACATTTGCCTTATTTTAACGAAATGTTGTCCACACCTCCAAGCTTGTGTCTAACTTATTGCAAAAAAACTTAATAATGGAGCAGAAAAATATGTCTGAGGTTTTTTAACTTGGACAAAATTAGAGATTCTGAATTTTCTTTTTTCAAAAGGGGAAATTGACAGTTCCAGAGAGAAACCCAATACAGGTGAATTTCCAACTTACTGCTGATTCAAGATATTAAGATTCTAATATAATTGTAGTGATTCTTAATTACTTACAGAGATTCACAAATGGCTCATCTCAAAACTTGCTTACCTATTGTAAATTATTATAGTTAACAGAACGTTAAGAGTTTTGATGCGAATGGGATTTCGTTTTTCTTTATTAAAGTAGATGTCTACGAGGGATTCCAAGATGTCTAGCCAGTTAGGCTGCGTTGGTTCGATCGAGTTTGATAAGTAATTAACCAGTCGAAGGATGGAACTTTCCTAGAAGGGATTAAAAGCAAAAAACGGATGAAAGTCGATAATACTCGTCTCTTGATGGGTTCTTCATGGCAAAATTGACAAAAAATTAGGGACACAGCTGAAAATTATAGGTTGTAAAAGAGAGATGATATTTATCTAATTAACTAAAGGATGATTTTGATGGACACAGTGACAACATCATAAGTTCATCCAAGATTTGTCTATGTTATTCAAGACAAAATAAGGCTTTACAATACAGGGTTATTCAAAAGTTACGCACCACTGACCATAACTTTAGTTCTAATTATGATATCGATTTGCGGTTTGTGGCGTCCTTCCTCATATCGAGGGGGAAACTTTTTGAGGTACTTTTCAGTTCTTCACCCCCCCAGGGGGCGGGGGGCAACTCAAAAATTTCAAATGGCAACCCCCATCATGTGATACATCGTTAGAAAGAGCATGATAAAAGAAAATTTTTGGCGCAAACCGGAAGTCGATCTGACCCCCCTGTCAAAAGTTAGGGGGGTCCAAAGGTTATCTAGGGGGTCCGTACCTTCATTTTTTAGAGTAGCTTCGGCGGCTCTTGGACATACCGTTTCTCTTTTCAAAGAGTCCTCGAATACTCCAAGTCTGATACCGAAGTCTTCATATTGCCCCCGGGCCACCACAGCCCCCCCGTAGGGGGGGATGGGCCTGTTACAATGAAACATTGCATTAAAATGCGAAAAGTCACAGAAGAGCTTCAAACTTAGCATCAAATCCGAGTGGAACTTCTTGCCGATGTTAACGCAAACGCAGCCTGCGACTTTAAAGTGAGTTTTCAAAACTCTTAGCCCCCTGCCCCCCCTCATTTTTGGTTGCAGAGCGGGTAAAAACCGGGAAATTCACTACAAATAATGCCCGAAACTAATGTCCAACTTGAGGAGGACCCTTGAAACGTTGCGATCAGTCGGAGCATTGGAATACAAGGACTGCCACCCCCTTAAAGTACGGAAACATCCAAAACACCCCCGCTGCCCCCCTCATTTTTCGTTGCGGAGCGGGTAAAAACCGGGAAAATCGCCAGAAATGATGCCCGAAACCACTGTAGAACTTGACGAGAACCCTTGAAACGTTGCGCTCAGTCGGAGAACTGCAACACAGGAACTGCCGCCCACTTTAAGGACGGAAACATCCATAAAACCCCCGCTGCCCCCCTCTTTTTTCGTTGCAGAGCTGGTAAGAACCGGGGCATCATTTCTGGCGATTTTCCCGGTTTTTACCCGCTCCGCAACGAAAAATGAGGGGGGCAGCGGGGGTGTTTTGGATGTTTCCGTACTTTAAGGGGGTGGCAGTCCTTGTATTTCAATGCTCCGACTGATCGCAACGTTTCAAGGGTCCTCCTCAAGTTGGACATTAGTTTCGGGCATTATTTGTAGTGAATTTCCCGGTTTTTACCCGCTCTGCAACCAAAAATGAGGGGGGGCAGGGGGCTAAGAGTTTTGAAAACTCACTTTAAAGTCGCAGGCTGCGTTTGCGTTAACATTGGCAAGAAGTTCCACTCGGATTTGATGCTAAGTTTGAAGCTCTTCTGTGACTTTTCGCATTTTAATGCAATGTTTCATTGTAACAGGCCCATCCCCCCCTACGGGGGGGCTGTGGTGGCCCGGGGGCAATATGAAGACTTCGGTATCAGACTTGGAGTATTCGAGGACTCTTTGAAAAGAGAAACGGTATGTCCAAGAGCCGCCGAAGCTACTCTAAAAAATGAAGGTACGGACCCCCTAAATAACCTTTGGACCCCCCTAACTTTTGACAGGGGGGTCAGATCGACTTCCGGTTTGCGCCAAAAATTTTCTTTTTTCATGCTCTTTCTAACGATGTATCACATGATGGGGGTTGCCATTTGAAATTTTTGAGTTGCCCCCCGCCCCCCCTCCCCCTGGGGGGGTGAAGAACTGAAAAGTACCTCAAAAAGTTTCCCCCTCGATATGAGGAAGGACGCCACAAACCGCAAATCGATATCATAATTAGAACTAAAGTTATGGCCAGTGGTGCGTAACTTTTGAATAACCCTGTATAACCAGCAAACACATGTATTTTATTTATTCAGAGTGACTCAAATGTATTATTGACAACTCACACTAAAATAATAGAGGTCATAAGTTCTCAAATATTCTATAACAGAGCATATTATTCGAAATGATTTCAAAATTTGCAAATGAGTAATAGTATTACTACTTTGGGCATTGTCGCTACAAATCTTTGGTAAAAGCGCATAAGTAAATTGCCACATTTCAATGGTCAATATTCCAATTTTTTTATGCAAAATATTTTTTGCTCCTACCTAATTTCTCAAAAAGAAGAGGATTTAGCCTCCTTTAGTCCTTGCAACACGGCATTTATTTACAGTCTTGAACACTCTTTAACTGATTAACTAGAAAATTATTAGGCTTCAAAGTTTTGCCTCCAATCAGTACTTTTATTATATTCATAATACTCTGACGGATTCCTTGAAAGAATGCTGAACTATAAACACTTTTACCGAAATGACTTAAAATTTGAAATTTTTACTTTCATTACTATTCAGAGTGCAGCTAAGACATAAATACAAAGACTTCTTTTTGGTTTTGCCTCCTTATTTGTGAAGAAAATAATCATAGAACTGATTTTTAAGAGACTGAGGCCAAAAATGGAAGGCTAAAGTTTCCAAAACCTTCCAACATATGGCTGATAAGCTGTCTGAAATTTGAAAAGACTTAGCCATGTGATAAAAAAAATAAAATTTTAAACATGAAAAGAAATAGAGAGAGAGTGCAAAGTGTAACCAACCGGTCGCGAGGAGGCACATTTTTCTATTACTTCAAAGACTTGGTGTTTGTTTCCTTTGAACTGATTAGAATCCATGAGCTGTTCAATTGAATTCAATGTATCTTGTAAGTAGCTATCGACTTGCCCAACAGCTGGAAGTAGGGGCTGATTTGCTAAGACACCAATAAAAAATTCCGTTAGGTATATATGTATTTGCTTCAAAATTCTATTGTGATAAAGTTATGATGACAATGACAGCAGTGTCTAATAACATACATATTTGAGACTCATCAGCAATTTGCTTTAAGAATACTAGGGCCTTGATTCAATAAAACTCAAATCTTTCAGTTCAAAAATAAACCGACTCTAGGGGAAAAAAGAGGCAAAACTGAGAGAAAAAAAATTCATTGGGAAAAATATTTTTTGAAGATTTGAGAATGTTTTAGATACACGTTGTGAATCTATTGTGGTTAGGTCAATAGGGAAGGGTTAAAAAATGCTTGCTCTTCTGTCAATTGATGCTTCCTGAAAGCGGTAGTTTTTGAATAGATCAAAGTCCGCTGATATTAATACGGAAAGTCATTTTTTTCCCTTTTTTTTCAAATCTCTAAAAGCATAAAAAATTATGAAGACTATCACAGTAACATCTGATGCGACACTTAAAGTTCTGTTTATCGGTTTCCGGACAATTAAAGCCTTGGGCGGTTCAAATTGCCAAGGATGATTGACGAAGCTTCAAAATTTACTAGATGGTAAAACAGCTCACAAAATTTTGCAAGATCTAAATTTTTCTCATTAAAATTTCTTCCAGCAAAGCTATCAAGGGTCTCTCCAAATCAGTGGAGGCTGAATTATCTTCAGATTTGACATCATATTGTTACAAATTATCTCAGAATTTATAAGATAGAAACGAAAAAGATAAACAGTATCCAAAGCACAAAAAAATCTTACCAATGTGGACAATGATGTCATCGAGAATGAGCAGAATGAGGTCCCACGAAGAATCATACAGCTCACTTCCGAAACGGGAGATTAAAGACTGAACACCCAACATGACTTCAAAAACTACTAGTGTGTGATCACATTTCAGAGCCTAAAAATTTGCAGAAAGAGTTATAAAGTGGGAATACTGGCAAGCAACTGAAAGGATCCTACAAGTGAGAGATTTTCTGTGATGCAGCTGACTGCAAAATAGCATAATTATTATTTCTGTTCTACTGTAACTACTTTGTATTTTACAAACACATGTTGATTTTTTTTATTTAATTTTTTTATTCTTGCACTTCTTTCATGATAAAATGAAAACGGCAGGGCTTCTGATCCATTTTAGAAGTGTATGAATTTATTTAGATTGGCTTCTATTTAGTGAGCGGTTCACAACCTTCATTTTTATGAGGTATCTTAAAGAGGTAAAATATTGTTGAGTCAAATGATCAAGACTAGTTTAGACCGTTTCTTGTTTTATGTAATGACCAATTTTGAAAATACTGAATGAAAGACACAAGGCACACATTTTCTTAAAACTTGCAAATATTTTACTTAGGTGCGTGAATGAAAACAAAAGAGATTAGTTTGCATTCAATTTTAGTAATTTACTAATTAGAAAAATAGGTGTGATGAAGCTTACAGCTCTGAGGGATGGAAGAACAGAGGTGGGTGTGCATTTCAAGGTTGTGACACGATTTTTACCCCACAATGCAGCGGTGATGTAGAAAACCGCTCCGCGAACAAGACCCACATCAACCGTGGTGCTGGCATCTTGAAGTATTCGACACATGATGTACATTGACACATGCCCTAAATGGGTGCCGATCAGATTTCTCATCACCTGACATGAAATAAATAATTAGATATCACCAAGAGGAAAAAAAAATAAGAAACACAAAAAACATGCCAGTTTCTTCAATCAGACTTTTGTCTCCATGAACCAAGGATCTAATAAATATTATACATATAAAGATTGGTAGGTACAGTAAAAAGTCAAGACTTCAAATTTTGGTCAGAGAAAAATTACACAAAATACAACATTTTCAGGATTCTTCAATTAGAATCAAATAAAACAGAGGTATAATGAAATAGATTTGCAGAAATTGGATCACCTTGAGAGCCTGTTAAATCAGGAAACAGAATTGACTTTTAATCTATTGTTGGGAATAACGTGAGGTGTGGGGAAAAACTATTCCAAAAAAAATTTCCTTACCAAATCTTCATGAGATCACATTTCTATGCATCAGAATTTAATTGAAAATGAGCTCAATAGTACCATCCGATTAGAATTTTCTTTCCCGCAGAATGATGTGAGATTCATTATCTTCTGTACTTCACAAGACAACAATCACCAACTTCACTTTTAAAAATGATACTTGATGTACTGGTTTACGGTAAGTTAAAAAGGTGCACAGAGGTCTTTCTTTTGTCATGTTCCATTGTTCTGGTTAGCTTTCAATTTGAACGATAAAATTTTCACTCAAGAAACTGGTAAAACGTTCCCATATATCTTCAATGGCTCATCTTAAATTTTTAATCCATGCTACTTAGTTCGAATCAATGACTGTGCAGGTAAAAAAAAGTAAATTGAGAGAAATTTTAGGATCTGAAGACTAAAAAAAAGGCCTATGAGGTTTATGTAGGGCTAAATAATTTCCTGAAGGTAAAAAGTTAGATGAAACCCTAATTTCTGAATCAAATAAAATTAATTGATGTGAAGATTCTACCTTCCAGCTAAGTTGGCAATAGGCCTCTAAATTGACAGTGCGGCATAAGGCAGAGATGAACGGTGGTAAAGATTCGGATGCAAGGTTGCTGTAACTGATGACAATCTGGAGAACTTGAAGGCCTGCCAGAACAACTTGGTCAGAGTCATGGTTGCAACAAAGCTCACATGTATTCCTGAAACATAATAAAAGCAGAGGAAGAGTTATAATTGTCATGCAATTGATTTGCCATTGATGACTTCACAATAAGTCTAAAGAATGGTCTAGAAAAGGAAAGAGCAAGGTCCTTTGGACTTATTTTTATTCATTAAGAATGGAAAGAACCATAATTTACCTCAGCATAATTCTTCCAAAAAACTGGACCTTAAACCACAAAAATCCTGAATTTCTAGTTTTCACCTCACTCATCTAAACTCATAATATCTCAAAAATTGGTATACTTCCAAGAAAAACAGACACAACATAAGAATTTAGTCGCCATGAGAGTTACTGAGATGGCAACATTTATCACAGCTGTGCAGAGGGATGGCGATATGTACAGGACCAAAAAGTGGTGAGCACCTCTGAAAAACTTTCCCGGCTGTAATGAGGGTAAAATTGCCTTCCATTATGGATTAAATATATTTTGGGTTACTTTAAAAACTGAATTGCTTCGGATGAAGCGTGTGTTACTTCCTTCCATATAGTCATAGATTATAATATTAGAGATTTTCCATGAGAAGCACTGATAAAACTGGTGTAGGCTGGAGAAAAATGGAGGATGTCTCATTTTTCAAGGACCGAACACTTAAAACATCTCATCTCTTTGTCAGGATTTGTTCTACATTGCTATGAATCAGTGAAAAAATATTAAAAGTGGTCCTTTATTTTGCGCACACAGAGTTCAAGTTTTGAAACACATAGTCATTTGAGGGAAATAACAGATTTTGAAAAGTAGGATTGATGACGCAATTGGGTTGTGATTCATAAAAATGTGTTTGCTACGGTGTGCAACACAAAAAGGGGCAACTCAGGGGCGGAGTCAGGTGAACTGTTTGATCCATTGTTTAAGGGTTGATTGGCTTTGGCGAGTCTAAATTCTTTGAATGTGCAAACATACCTACGTTTCAACCTCTAAACAATGCCCCAAGCCAGTCACTAACTCTACCTCCCAACCACCTCGTGTGGTAGTTTTGTGTGGTAGACTGTGAGGAAAGATTGCTCTAAATTTGAAAGAAAAATTCGAGAGTTTAAACAATTTATTACTAAAACTGGAATTTTTACTTCGATTCAGACAACAATTTCAAGCGCATTAAACTTTTAAAGAACTATGACAACAGGAGAAAATTATACTTTAACACTTACTGAACAATGCCTGAAATAACTTGGTCATCAATGAATGCAGCATTGTACTTGATACAATTGGCCAAGATAATTAGGAACTCTTGAGCATAATTAGCTCCAACAACAATATGCATCCAATTTAACAGAAATGGCCCAACTGACTCTTCAAAGTACTGAATATCTTGCCCATTCTTCGTTAAACTTTGAAACAGTTCTAACCTGGAAATATAAAGAAAATAACATTCACTCTGTTAATTCTGTCCCTTCCACGGAACAAGTCAAAGATGCTAATAATTAGATAAAAAGCTGTAGAAGAAGCTAAATAGAACACAAGCCAGTCATTGTGCTTCCTAGACTGCATATTGATGGATAAATGCAGCAAAAGTGTATCTTAATGGACCACTAGACAAGGTACGAATTTAAGCATTCTGATACATGTTTCCTAACCAGAATTGTACGTAGAGCACGATTCGCGCAACGAAAACTAATGAAACAAACTCCAAACGAAGATATTAAAGTTTTTATTTCACATTGGTTACGAGGAATTTCAACTGCCCGCTCACAAGAAACTCAAAGCTCTACGTGAGTCAAATCACGCACTACAACGGTTTCAACAAGCTCCTCAATCGAGTAATGTTCATTTCTCACCATGTGTTGTTCAAACTATAAGCAATTTGCTACAGCTGAGCTAAAGCGTCAAGATTGAGGTTGCCGGATTTTTATATCGCAGACACTGTCATGATAACGTTTAGCGCGCGATGTGAATCACGTAGAGCATTGAGTTTTCATAAGCGGGTGGTTTGAATTCACGAATCAAGAATCATTAAATATCTTTGGCAGGAGTTGATTTCGGTAATTTTCGTTGTGCGTGTCGTATTCTACGTGAAATTTTAACTAAGAAACATGTATCAGAATGCTGAAATTCGTACCTTGTCTAGTGGTCCATTGCCACATTAAAAATTTCTGATTATATTAGATTCCTTTCAAGGAAGACTGATCCAACTGTTCCCTTGTAATTTAGGGCAATATTTCTGTTTTTGGAATGAGTGAAGAAAATTCATTAACAATTTTAATAGAGACATCTTTTTTGTTTTCCTTTTTTGATAGTGTCAATTGTGCAATGAGGTGCAAAATATCTTAAAATCTAATAGGAGGAATAAAAAAGAGAGGGTTGTAACTTGAAAAACCTACGCGCTGCAAATTATTGTTAGCCTAGGGAGGCAAAATCAAATTTCTATTCTTGAATGTATCGATTAAGATTGAGTTTGAAAACAAACAAATAAATTTTCTTTTCTCAAATCTTGAGAAAAGATTTTTCCTTGTAAGTGCAGTAACAACTGGTTTACTACTGAAGAAATTTTAACCCAGACATACCTCTGCTTGACATCTTCAGAATTGTGGTGGGCTATGACATTGAAAAAGTGTACACGCATTAAACTACCAAGCCGATCATATTGCCCTTGAATTAATGACCGGAAAAACCCAAAAGCTAAAAGGCGATGTTCACGGTTGACCTCCTCTTGAAGCAGATCTTGTAAGCAGGTCCACAGTCTTTCTGCTGCATTCTGAAATTAATGAACAGGAATATTTTGGTTTAGGTAGTAGAATCCAGAAGAAAAAACACATTCCTCTATTGGGAAACTTTTATACTTCAAAATAAAATATTACAGACCAGTTAAGTATTGCAATATCACAAACCTTCGGGGACTTAGTATGCTCCTCTACTCCGAATAGAATTCTATGTGCGTACAATTTTTTTTGTAGTTTCATATGTAAGGAATTTTTCAGGATGCCAATAGACTTGCAGGGAAAATATTCTCCTTTTTGTTGGGTTATCACTGATGGATAACAAAAATTATTGAGCATTTTTGGACAATAGTCAACTAGGTATCTTGCATGATAAAAATGGGGTGCTCAGTTAGGTACAAACTGGAGTGTTCTTTAAATTTTTCCCTTCAAATTTTATGATGAGATAATTTTACATAGGTAGCGAGAAGTTAAGAAATTAACTCTAGACAAGATATAATTATTAATAGTAAAACTTTAGTTGAATTGCAAAACCTCACAACCATGTCATTTGTATAATTTGCATTCCATTAGATAAGCCTAAAGAAAACATGTTAATATCTCGCTTGAGAGTTAATTTTTGAACTTCATGTTGCATTTCTACGTAAAAGTTTACGAGGAACCATGTAATGTAGTGCTTTAATTCATAACTCTTCTGACCCATTGGAGTTCGTTCTGCTATAAAAACATAAACAGATTTGGTGGCCGTAAGTATCATAGTTCTACATTGCAGTTCAGTGGTTCTACTGAGGACAAATGCATCTTTTGAAATTAGTATAGTAAAAACATATTCTTTGGATGAACCTAAAAACTAGCAACAAGAGAACAGCCTAGTTGTTGGATTGAAATTTCCCTGTGAGCCTATGCATTTTGGGAGAAACATACAACCTGATTTTTCAGCCCTGTAAACAACAAACAAACCTTAGCATTTAACAATACCTGGCATACATAGGAAAAATTTCTATTTTGCAGCAGGGTTTCAACCAATCCTTGATCGCTACGATGTTCAAAATGACTACAGAAAAATGAAAAGAAAATAAGAGGATCCACCACAACTTTAAAATTTAAAACCATCCCTTCCAAATTGGATACAGCAGAATGGTTAAATATTGGTGTCTTTCTGCAAAATTTAAAGATTTCAATTATTGCTAATCAACGTTTTTTACAATGTTCAAAGAAAAACCTCTTGATTGATATTGTCTTAAATTTGAGATGTGCTTAATCGAGAGGTAGGTATATTTTTTTCCATTCATGTTTAATAATTAAGATATGTACATTGACAAGGAAACACTTACATCTTCAAGACGGTGGCTGGATACTATGTCACTGAGTGCACTGATTGTTTTAAGCCTCTGGTTGATGGGTGTTTCGTCACTCAGCTCCTTTATTACTTCTGGTGTTAAGACATAATCTTTTTCAGGTCTGCTAAGTCCTATATGAGGGCATTAAGCAGAGTAACTAAGATTCTTGAGTGGACTTTCAGAAGGCCAAAATGAGCAGTTATATCAAGAAATACTGATGGTAAAATAGAAGCCTTTCAAAATATTAGTGATGGTTTCTGCCTGGGCAAGCAGTCCCTTGCATTCCTGCAGTTATAAAACCGGTCGCTGTGATTTGATGCTCTGCAGAATGAAATACTCCACTATACATCTCAAGTGCAAGAGCAATATGAGTGCATATTCCTCTTTGCCTCTTCATATGGGAGGCATTATCTCTCGATCGTTCGACTGATAGCTCGCCAAAGACCACACTTCTTTGTCTCCTAGGCAAGTGGTCCAGTTGACCAACTGCTATGATATTATCATAGCTTGAACAGCAGTCTAATTTTTTAGATTCCCGCTCTTTCGCTCTTACGTTCTGTCAGCATTAAAATAATTGCTTCCGGGAAAAATCGGACTGAATACAAGTACATAAGTAAAGGGAATTAACAGGGAAGTATGACATAACCTTCAAATTAGAACATAGAGACAACTCACCAGTTCCACCTTTGTTTAGGCGGAAAAATTGCCGCAGCTTTTCAAACGTCTTGCCATCCTTCGCTGACATGCTTGGCTACTGCAATCAAACTTACATTTTCCTCACACCAATTTCATTAATTATTATCAACTCTCTTATCAGTGACACAACCTCAAACCCGATCCACGAACCAACAACAACACCATCACCCCAAGCTCCCCTATTTACCGTTTGGACCAATAGGAAGGGCGCTGTGCACCGAAATAAAGTCTTCGCAACTCTGATTGGTTAGCCTTTGAAATTTTTCGGGAGAGGAGGGATAGTGGTTCTTAGGAGGGGAAAATTGAAAGCAAAACAATAACAAAGCATGTTATCAGTTATCAGTTATGTGAAAAATCTTGGCGTGTTCGGCTTCTTGTGTCTCAATCGTAATTTTTCCCTTTGAGGACATCTTTGGCTTCCACTAATGGTTTATTGGAATTGATATCAATGATGGCAACTGTAGTCAAGTGCTTCAAATTTTTTACCAGTGCATGTGCAACAACTGATACGTTTCCAACCATGCTTGTTCCCAGAACTTTTACACACTTTTTCCTAAAAGTACATTCCAGCTCTAAAGCCAGAATTAAAGCATTTGATCGCATGAGAATTAATTCTGAAAACCGACTCATGTATGGTGACCTCCTAGAAACACAATCTGAAAGGAAAAAGAGGCTGGCTAACAAGCGGGAAACTTCCAGCAAGTCCGATGCTAGTGTCGAACAGAAAGCTAGAGGCGAAACCAGTCTTTCAATGGATAGTAATATCCCTGCAAGTGTTGTTGACTCAAATAATATATCCTTAAAATTTTCTGAAACTTTAAAGATCGAGCCGGCATCACCAATGGACAAGGATTTCAAAGATATAGAAAAGAATATTGCGCAGTGTGATAGTAGCAGTGAAGTTAAAGTAACGATTGAGACAGATTCAGTCACATCCACCTCCCAGTCTTCAAGTGGAGTGAAAGATAATGGCAATAATTTGGCTGAGGATCCTCAAACAAATACAGGTATTTATTTCATTGGCTTCCATTTAAGCGGGATATTATGTATTGCTCAAAATTTGATAAGTACTCAGTATCAGATCTATGAGTATGAGAAGCAGTGCGCTGTGTCACTCTAGAACCAAATGTTCTTCAAACTCATCAGGATGAAGTTATAATTCCCTCATCTAGAAGTTGACCCTCTTCAACTCACTATCTCACAAACCTCTTCTATAAAAATTGAAAAGTTAAATTTGTGAAAACTATGAGATCCACCAATGTGGAATGATTAATGAAATGGGGTCGTAGGTAAAATGATGTTGCTATTGAAAGTCAAAACTTATGTACCATATTCTAACGTTGAAGTAAGTAGTACGCATCTATCATTTTTGAAAATCGACAGGAAAAGGTAGGGACGAGGCTGAAAAACC